GTTAATGTGAAATTGAATTAAGCATTTAGAGCATTTATGTGGGTTTTTATCTGTGTAAAACAGTTAAAGTATGAACAGTGAACCATTACACAGTAATTTCATTTTATACTTATGTTCTAAGGGAGAAAGTCTGCCTTTAAATTGTTCTTACTGAGTTACATTTTGTTCTTACTGTCACATGTTATTTTTGTAATGAGCATATATGTAAACTAGAGTTTGAACCTGCACAATATGCCTGATCTAAATAAATCAAATATTCAGCATCAATTAGAGTGCTAAATTAGCAATGTTCATGATCTTTAATATGATGATTGTTCAATGGCAAATCATTATATTCAATAGCTTGAAAGTGATTCACATCATTATATTTACTTTTTTTATGTATCTAATATTTTACAGAAATATAGTGCCTTATAAATAGTGAGTTATATAGCATGTTTTAGAGTTGTCACAGTCTTTGGCTAAGAAATATGTGCATTGATGCTTAAATTGTGAGATTCTGCACTTTTTCCATTCTCAGCATATAATGACAATAATGAGTTTTCAGCCACTGAGATAAATTGATTGACCTTATTTACTTTTGCTGGCTGAGCCATAGCATGATCAGTGGCTAATAATTTTTAAGCTTGCTATATGTGGTTATGTTGCTCATAAAATGTGTCAAAGGAAAGAAATAATGACTAGAGCCTTGATAAGACATGCTAAAGTATATAAATAATTGATGTGCAGTTTTAACAACACATTTTTACAACATCATTTAGGACTGCTGTGGTTGAAGTGAAGAAACCTTAGCATGCTTAGATATCATGAACATTTGAAAATCTCAAAATATACATTAGAATATATTGCCTATCGTACTCTACACACACTTTTTTTAAAGTTTGTTCACATAAGCAGAATAGTTAATGTGATTCAAGTTTTTAGCTGTCATAGTAAATTGATTGTGCTCATTTGCCTTTAACAGCTGAGTCACAGCTCTTGGTGTGGCTAACACTTTTTGAAGCCTGACACAAGGCTATATAAGGTTGTATTTTGAAAACTAGATAAGTAAAAAAGAGGACTGATGATAAAAGGCATTATTGCTCATGTCATAATATATGAATAATTCATGCAGGACCTCAGAAAGGCATTTTTGCAATAACATTTAGAATTGCTATCTACAAAGGGAAAAGCCTCTGCACACTAAGATATTGACCATAACTTAGGCTCAAAAATATGTTATTCCCCTTGTAACTTATGTGTATCAGACAATATCCCTTCATTCTGAATGTAGAGAAAGATTAGTTGATGCAATAAAACTCTGCATGTGACTGATGGTATGCTGAAGCTGCTGCATGACTATAATATTTTCTATTGACTGAAACATATAAGAGAGCTAATAATGATAAAATTCATAGAGAAACATTTCAGAAGATGTGACCAATTTGTGCAGAGCCTACAAAAAGCTGTTGAATATTGTTGTAAGTATTTATTCATATTTTAAGTTTTTTTAACAGTTTGAATATATCAATGATACATAACAGATCATATCTTCATTGCATAGCAATCAGAACTGCATGCAGGTCATTTTTTAGCTTAAAGAGTGAAGATTTAAGGTACAAAATCTAGAAAGATGTCAGCCATCTAAAATGTTCACACTTCAAAGTTGCCAAAGTATCTTAAACTCTGAGAGCAATGATATGTGCCATTGTTGCAACTAGTTACTTGCATCAATGGCAAACATCATAGTCTAGCATTGTTTGTATAACAATTCAAGCTTAAATTAGAAGTGCATAAAAGTGTATAGGCAGAGAATCAAGCTTCAGACTTCTAGAACAGTTACTGCTCCAGTGGTATCAAATGTTTTTCCACTGGACCACTCACTATTTATCATTTTCAGAGCTCAAATTTAATATACAGTGAGTGGCAAAAATATAAATGAGTTCTTGATTTTCACTGCTTGTCTTATATCTTCAGATAAATTGCCGCTATAATAGTCAGATAAAACAATATCAGAAAGCAATCCTTCGCAGCTTACAAATAAGTGTTGATCAAACTCATGTTGCACTTTTATTATTGACAATTCAAAGCCTTTAAATTAAAAAAAATTTATACTTAATATATCTACACTTTACCTTAAGCATGGCCTCAATCCTTCTACAGTCGTGGACAGTTAAATATGACAATTTTAAGAAATATTTCTCAAATGTCCGATATACATCAAAATTGATCTGGATTGATGAGATGGTGTTTGTAAATGAATTTGAGGCAAATTCTCTGAACTGTTTGCTCACAAAAGGCAGTTTTCTGATCTAAAATCCTCTAAAATTTGACAGACCCTCAAAAAGAGGTCTAAAATATGTGAAATGCATCAAGCAACTCCTATTGAGTTTTTGTGCATCATTACATTGAAAATTTGCCAAAAATAATGATGGACATTCAGCAAATAATTACACAAGTTGATCATCGTGACTTGAGTTCAAGATCAACAAATCATACACGGTACCTGATCTGTATGTTTGTGGCTGAAAAAATTCTGCTTTTGACTCAAACATTTGGCGGATGCTAAAAATGCATGAGAAAAATATAAAAAAATTGTTTTTGAATGTTTCTCGACACTTTGAGTCTGTATCTGCACTCAAAATCAAAAAGTAACAAGCCATTCGAGCGGAATAAATTGATTTTATTTTTGTCGTGTTTGGTTGTTCACCATTGTAGATACAATTTTGATCAAACCTCACACATACATGTCAATATCCTTTCATTTCTTTTTCACTTGCTCTCACAATTCTGTAATCTGTTTAGATAGTTTATTATATCCTGCTGTATATTTTTGAGATTACTCTAGAAAATGTTTTATGAGATTTAGATCTGATTTCTGATCAGGTCATACTGTAATCTTGATAACATTCTCAGTAAGCCAGCTTTATGCCTTTCTGCTGCTATGCTTGAGGTTGTTGTCTTGCTAAAACACTGCCTTCTTCACAACTATATCTCAATGCTTCAAGCTATTCTGAAGGTCATCTCTCAAAAGGCTAACTAACATACATAACACTGAGTGAAGCAATCAATAATTTGAGGTGAAAGATGGTAAACATTTCGAAAAAAAAGTTCAAATCTTTCAAGCATCTTCACTGTCAATTTGTAATAAGAGTATTTAAAATATTTTTAACATCTTTTGTTGTGAAAGATGATGAAAAGATTGAAAGAAGATTGCATGAAATATTAATAATTATTTCTTCAATCATTTTACAATCTTTTATACAAAACTATGATAAAAACTTTCTAATCTTTTTTCACTCTTTTTTGATCAAAGATGATGAAAATATTGTGAGTATGTCACACCCTTGTTTTCATATACTAAGCTAGTAGTAAGATATAGAGGTTAATACTCAGGTTGGTATGTTAACACTATACTAGTGCTATAGTCAGAAGAGTAAGACTAAGATTTCAATGTTAGCAGTATGCTAATACTAAGATTTAAATGCTAGTACTATGCTAGTATTAAGGTCTGAAGGTTAGTACTATGCTAGTATTAAACTAGTACTAAGGTTTGAAGGTTCGTACTATGCTAGTACTTTGCTAGTACCAAGATAGTGCTAACATCTAGAGATCAATACTATGCTAGTACTGTGCTAGTACTAGCATTCAGACCTTAGTACTAACCTTCAGACCTTAGTACTAGCATAGTACTAACCTTCAGACCTTAGTACTAATCTGCAGACCTTAGTACTAGCTTAGTACTAACCTTCAGGCCTTAATACTAGCATAGCACTAGCATTTAAATCTTAGTATTAGCATACTGCTAATAATAGAATCTTAGTATTACTCTTCTAACTATAGTACTAGCTTAGTATATGAAAACAAGAGTGTGACATACTCATAATATTTTCATCATCTTTGATTAAAAAAGAGTAAAAAAAAGTTTTTGAAAGTTTTTATCATAGTTTTATATGAAAGATTGTAAAATGATTGAAGAAATGATTATTAATATTTCATCCAATCTCCTTTCAATCTTTTCATCATTTTTCACAACACAAGATGTTACAAATATTTCAAATACTTTTATCACAAATTGACAGTGAAGATGCTTAAAGGATTTAAACTTTTTCTTTGAAACTTTTACCATCTTTCACCTCAAGTTATTGATTGTTTCACCCAGTGTAAAGGTCAGTATTCATCTTGTCATCGATCTTATAGGTCTTTTTAACTTATATAGCTTTACATTATAAGTGATCTGCCATCAAACTTAAGGCACCCTCTATTAACCTGTCACTGAATTTCTTCTCTGACTTTTTTCACACCCATTTTCTTCCATCTAATCCAAGACAATTCAGTTTAATCTCATCAGACTATATGATAGAAGTCTCTTTTATTTAATTTTGAAGCAAAATAATAATACAGTTAAGCTTAATCAATGATAAGCATAAATTTATTTTAATATTAATAAATGGAGTGTTTTGCAGCATTGAAAGGCACAATAATATGGTCTTTGTGACTTTCAATTTTTATATGCCATATAAGTTTGTGATGATGTACATCCTTTTTTAACAGTATGACACCACTAAAGATACTGAAAGAAACATTAAAGATCTCAGTAATTGACAGAATATTGAGATATTATATATTACATTGAAATATGAGTATAAGGTTTAGGTCTTGCCTTTTCAATCACTGACATGTAAATCCCTTCTCTTCTTGCTTGTATGTCAGTTTCTTTGCCTCTCAACTTGGCTGTCATATATTTCATCCCATTTCAGAGTTTCTGCATTGTATCAATGAAGTTGATCACATTTGCCATTGCTTTCCGATAAGACATGCTGTGTGAAAGAGCTTGATAGGGCTTGTAAGAGTAGGCATGTATGTGAAGAAATGCAAAAGCCTGCATAATTTTGATCAGATGAACATTTAAGACAAATTGAGATTTATTCTTGCATCATCTCAAGTGTTTCTAAAACTGCACAAATTTCAATGGTTATATTGTCAGCAGTCATATGTTGAGTCTATTACATCATTCAATTTCAGATTAGCTGCAATTAACGTAACAATACATACATTCTTGATAACATTAAAATCTTGCAACAAAGAAAGAAAAGTCTCTTGCCAGAATGTCAGAGATACTGGTTGTAGCCATATTAGCATGCTAAGTACCATATTTTTACATCACACCCACCAACAGCTTTGACAGCAAACAACTTGAACAATGGTTTTTTGAGTGCCAGATTGCTGGCCAAAGAAATATATAGCTGTATAAGACAGTACATTGCAACAGTAACTGAAAGAGACATGATAACAGTGATCTGCAGCACTGTCAACTTCTGTGTACATGCATGAAAAAAGAAAATTATCCTACATAAACATGGCCCTAATCAAGGCTCCAGGAATCCTCACAATACAGTTCAACGTAATTGAGGATAATGGCAACAAGAGTTGTCCTGCATAAAAACTTGTGAACATGAATGATCATCATTTATGCACATTGATCTCACAATGGTCTGATCACACAATATTGCAAGACCCCCCATTTTATCAGCTGCAAGAACAATAGCCCATCCTGAACCATGTTTCAGAACTGATAGTTGTAGAAATCAGTTTTGAAGGGGCTGACCTGAGCTTTACACTGTACAGATTGAAAAGAAAATATCCAAGTAGATACTTTGCCCTTCTGTTGCTTGATCTGCCTGTCGTTCTTCTGTGATAATTTTACCTATGACAGTCATATGTTATTCATTAAATCAATAGGGTAAACAGGAGCTTACTTCATTCACAATGGCCTTCTGTTGCTCGAAATCTGGAGACAGATAGTTGAGGAGCAGGTAAAAGAATGATATGAGGACAAATGCTTCATAGCAGTCATAGATGAGCAACAGTGGTGTAGAATGGTTCTAATGAGCTCCACACCCATGAATGTCCGATTGAAGATGTCAAGTCATTGGATGACTTACCCAAAACAAGTAAGAGGTGAAACTAATGCACACATAAATTGGCACTATCAGAAGTATCTGCACAATGTCTTTTGGTCTGTTAGCAGAGGCTCAGAGGGACTGCGTTACTGACACTCACAACGCTGTTCATATTCCTGTCCATAAGTTATGAATAAGTGAGTTAATCAACGGTGATGGACAACTCACATTTCAATATCACTTCAAATGCTGGTGAATCAGACACGATGAGACTGCTATTGCAACTGCTGCAAAGCAGCCTGACACGATTCATCCAATCTGCTGCCCCATTAATGTTACAAGTTATGAGACATCGAGATATGGACATACGACATGAGCTGTATGCCAGATCAGACATCAGATTCGTGTGACCAGCATGAACATGAAAGGGTACCTTGGAGAACCAATGTCTCACTTTGAATCAGTGGCAGCTCTTCCTGCATGGCCTGTGCAAAGCATCATTCATTCGTAATGTTCACCATGCAGAATATTGCAAGTCAGATGCACAGTCAGAGAGCCCATGATGAGAGAATCTGATCTGAGATCCAGTGCAACAGATGAGATACAAGGTTGCAGCTGCAAGAATGAGCTGCTAGCTGAGCAAAGCACAAACATGCTGGTGAGGAGACTGTTGGCATTTGGGCATGGAGCGCAGATGTGAGAGGCCCCAGTGCGACCTGTGCCACTGGCATGAGAGAGTAGTAGCACACATGTATATAATAAGGTGTGGCTACAATGGGACAGGCCACGGGTTTGACCCCATAGAGCCATCTTCTAGAGAGCGGGTGACTCCTGAACTTCTGGCCACACAGCGAGCTGGCTGGAAAAGTCAACACAAATCAATAACCATTGATCAAGGGGCACTCACCACAATTGATGTGAAACTACCAACTACGAGGCTCCTGCTGAGGACCAGAATGCTGGCTGTTGAGTGATTCAGTTGGCAGATCAAGGGCTGGGAGCTGGGGCAGGTCACTGAGGTGTGAAGGCTGTAAGACAGCTGAGGGACAGGTGTGACCGGGCAGAGGTGGGATCAGAAGGTCAAGGGCAGGAGGGTGAGGGCCAGAGGGTCAACTGCAGGGCATCGCTGCAGTAATACAAGATACCAGGTGCAGGAGGTGGGCACCATGTGAGGGCAGGCCTACCAGTGAGGTGAGGGCAGGGCAGGGCATTGAAGGGCAGGCTGAGCAGATGTCGAGTGAGACAGGCCAGCAGTTCGATGAAGCAGCATAGCCACAGCATGCAGAGTGTCGAAGAAAAGCTGAGTGAGGCACTTGCACAGAGCGCACATGGAATGGAGATCAAGGCTCACATCCAGGGGGTGCTGGGACTGGTGTGTGGATCAAGGCAAATGACGAGCATGGGGGCACACTATAGGAAGTACCTGAACATGGGCACGTATGGGATGCATACAGTACGGAGACCGGGACCAAGGATCAGAGGGTACCAGGACTGGTGTACAGACCGAGGTGGGCAGGGATGCACATGGAACAGAGACTGGGACCTTGGGACAGGCATGCGACCCACAACGGTGAAAGATGCAGTGGTGACTTGGTCAAGGGGGTGTGTTGGCATTTGAGCATGGAGCGTGAATGCGAGAGGCCCCGGTGTGACCTGCGCCACCAGCATGGGAGAGTAGTAGCATGCATGTATATAATAGGGCATGGCTACAATGGGATGGGCCATGGGTTTGGCCCCGTGGAGCCATCTTCTAGAGAGCAGGTGACTCCCGAACTCCTGGCCACGCAGCGGACTGGCCTGAAAAGTCAACAGAGACCGTAAGCAGCGTTAGAGCACCTGCAGTGCAAGATCATCGAGTGTTGGGACGACAGAGGATGCATCACGAAACGACGCATACGTGCTTGAACGGTCGACATACTAGGAAAGCTCAGCTGCGCTAATGAGAGGCGTCTGATCAATGATCGGTGACCCATGATCCCCACATCACCTCGATCAGCAAACGCTCTCAGCGATCAGGGCCATCGAAACCGTGAGTTTTTATAACTTTTATTTTACATGGCTTACTCTACCTTGCGTCCGCGCTACCTCCGCGTAACATTTCTACAAGCGTCTCCTCGATCGGCTTGAGCTTCCTCCCCAACACGTTTTGCAGCAGCGGATCCACAATCTCTAGCTCACCTCGGCGGACGCTGATGAATGTTGATACCCACTGCCGCAGGTACTTCTCCTCTCCCATCCGCCCATCTTTGCCGATGTTGCGCTTTAAGTACCGTTCCTCGTCTACGATGCACAGCTTGATCTCGCGATGCAGAATCGCCGAAATGCGCTGCGCGAGCTCGTGCAGGGTCATGACGCGTGAGCCGCTGAGCAACAACGTCTCGCCGACATAGCCGTCCTAAGTGATTCGAAGTGATTGAGCGTTGATCACATTTGACGTCAAGATGCAGACTTACAGAAACCATAATTTTCGCAGTTCCCTCGCCAAGATCCTCCCTACTCACCCATGCAATCCCACCATCTCCGTGCGGAATCAGCACCTCGTCACTGCCATCGTTTGGATCGAAGAACCCGAAATATAGCGGGTAGCTCTCGCTATAAATCCCCTCTCGCAGAATCGTATAGGTGAGCCCGCTCTCCTTCAAGTACTTCTCGGACGCTAAATGATCTTGCATGACGGCGGCGACGCTGTCGCTCGCGAACATGAGCGATGTGTAGTAGACATGCTTGATACCGCATCGTTTCGCAGCATCGATCGCATTGACATGGTAGGGGATCCGGCCGGATATGTTTGGATACGAGATGATGAGAACTTTGTCTCCGCCACGGAAGGCTTCGTCGAGCGTAGACGGATCGCCGTAGTCACCGTGCCTAATCTCCACGCCAGAGCTGACGATTTGCGAAGATGCGCCGTTGGGATTGTGCAGCGATACGATGATGTCCGTGGCTTTTCGCGAAGATGATCAGCTAAATGACAGTGTGATCAACGGCAAGACATACCAGGAACTAGTCGAAGCAGGTACTTCAAGACTTGGGAGCCTAGTCCACCTGTAGCTCCAGTTATAATGTACTTCATGGTATCCCAAACTGACCAGGAAAGGGCGATCGAGTATAAGCGAGGCGGTGCGACTACGTGCGACGTTTTTTGTAGTCCTAAGAACGACTCACTGACGTCAGCACCGAGACTGATTACTAAGCGGCGACTTACCAGTTGTTCGTTGTGGTGCTTGTTGTTCGTCAAAAGATGACGAGTGTGCCTTCAGAGCACATCGGCATCCAGATCAACCCTTGACAGCGGGCTTGGCCTGACGCATCACGCACTTCATGGAAAAAGGTAATTCACATCTATATATCCGCATACAGCTATGCTGCTCATGCAGAGCATGGAAGGTCTAGCGTACAGTCTGAACGCTGAAAATACCGAAGTTGACAGTCCGACTTCCCTACCATTCAGCTGAACACCTGCACATGAAGTTTCACCTCGTGATAGTGAGTCCAAATCGACGGCCTATCCAATGTATAGAGAGCCGCCTTCGCCGAAGGAAGGCAATCTCATCGTAGTGTCGCTGTGAAGAACAGAACATTGCCGCACCGCTTTGTTCCGCCTCGGTGCTGCTGCTCTAGATTTCGTCCTTACTCAATCGCAGTGATGTGCAGATAACAAGCAGGCCACACAGTCAAAACAACACGTCAAGTAACAGACTTGGAGCGCCACAGAAGCAAGCCGCGTCCAAAATATTTTAGTAAACGGCGAGCTCACCATTGCTCGTTGCAAAAGGACTGCTGAAGAAGCACGTGCCTATTACCAGCCGCGTTCGTCTCTCCAATTTATACGCTAGCACTAGTTCGCGTGTACATAGCTGACCTACGACAAAACCGCCATTCGAAGTCCATAAAGGCACCGCAGAGTCAGCGTAGCAAGCAGTCGGTATGAAATCCGATGTATATCAGTGGAGACCAGTAATGTGTTTTCAGGAGCAGCATAGAAAGGCCGTAGCATATATTCCTATGAACGCAGTATGGGCACTAGACAATATGTGAGCACATAAGCATGCTTTATGACCATAAGGTCATGCTGACCGGCGCCACTTATAACGCAACGTCTATAGAGGGTTGACAACTGGCAGAAGATGTACTCGCAGGCTCTTCCTGACCTGTGGAGCATTCTTGCCAAAGTACCTCTCCGTCACGAAGCTCCACTCCGCGTTGGCAATCATCCAGTCTTCAAGACCTCGCACAAAGGTTTCAACTTGTGCATCGACCACTCTTCCCCAAGATGGCAGCGCTGCTTTGCATGCGAGAAAGCGTTCAACGGTCTCGTTGCACATCGCGGCAGCGTGGTCCACGGCGGCTTGCTGGCCTATGCCGAAGGCGTGTGCGATGACGGCTACTAGATTGTGCGGCTAGAGATACAGCACTATACTCAGTAGGGCAAGCCGCGAAAAGCGATGTGACTCACGTCTCCTCTCGATCGTTCGCGGCTATAGGAAAAAATGTCCTATGTGGTAAGCATGGTCAGAACATGTCGAAAAATACACCATGAGCATGCGTGGCGCAGCTTCCTTCGCCGGACGCAAGGTGCATCCAATCGCGGAGCTAGGGGGAGAAGTTTGAATAGACAGCGAGACTCACGTTACCCCAGCTGACGCTATCGTTCGCGGCATCCATCAGGTCCTGAACGACCAAATTCTCATAGACCTCGTCGGGAAGGTCTATATATGTGGCGTACTCGATGAGTACAAACCCAGCTTTGCATCCACTCGTATCTCGGCGCAAAGAAATGTATGCATCGAGCTCCGAAACATGCTTTGACGCACGATCGGCGGCCTGCTGCGTGATCGCCTTGAAATACAGGTCCATAGAGGAGATGAAGCGCTCTTTACAGCGAGGGCCAATATTCTTCAACATCCTCTTCCACCACCTTGTGAAAAGAAGTGATCAATGCTGAGCGTTCGCAGCTTGACCATGAAGGAGATACACACGACTTGGTAATCCGTGCTGCGACAGTGTTCGAATAGAAAATCTCTGGGTAACGCAGTGTATTCATAACAACCGCTTCCAGGGTCTCCGTTTGCGTGGTGTTGAATTCGTCGCTCCAATCGTCAAGGCAGAATAGAAAGCTCGTAAAATCCATGCAGACTCTGAGTTTCTCGGGGCCCGATTCAACGTAGGACATTCCGCACAAGAGACCGGCTTTCAGGCCCAGGAATCTTGATCGTTGCTTCTCTGTGAAGTTTGTGGACGCGAGGATAAAGGTGTCTGAGGCGGCAGATAGAAAACGTGTATAAGGGTTCATACGGATGGGGAAAGGAATCGCATCCATGATGTCAGGGAGCCTAATGATCTTTGTGCAGTAGGACATGGCAAATGTCACCGATGAACGTGAGGATCCAAAAGATGGTCGACGATAAGGGAACAGAAGGTGACCAAAAACCATCAGCATTTATACGGCTTATACTTATAATGCCAAGGCTACCGATTCCTCAACGGTGAGTTCTTGGGCACGAGCTAGCGTCCGCAACGTCGTAGATTCGCTTAACAGCATTTCAGCGCCACGGAACGCCTTCTTTTTTCCAGCAAGAAAGTCGTCAGAGACATCAAAAGGGTGATGGAGAATATAAATGGAAATCGGCACGTCTTTAGAGACATTGAGCACCCGCACAATGCGCACCATTTTTGCGATGCTCGCTTCCCGTGCGGAATGATCGGACTCGGCTCCGATAATGAAGGGCATCTTACGGAACCGCACCTGTGGGTTAACAGCACGCTCTGTGTGCAGACAATGCGTGTTGGGCTGCTGCGTTATGCATGGGCAACGGATTGCTCGAGCAACTGGAATTCATGTCGCAGTTGTGTCACAGAGATGCGTCCCTGGAAGCATCATGACAGCCACACTTCTACCTGACAAAAGTAACAGGCGCATCAATATCGTCGGAAAGCTGATGAGGCAGCCGCGACGTATTCTATCATTGTTAAGCACCACATACGTCACAAACATTACGCACACGCACAGTCTTTTGAGATCAACTTTGAATAGTTGTGTCACGAGGCATGCCCTCGAACGCTTGAGCTCAAGCGATTAGAAGCCCCGAAGAATGAACCGGCGGGGATATCGCTTCCAAACAGTTTACACGTTTCCCTATTCATCCCTCTAAGCAAGGTTTAGCCACGCAACATTATAGTCATACACGCCACCTACGTCAGAGGTTCGACTAGTAACGAAGGTATGCCATCCTCTCGATGACGGAAGTACAGACAGCTCACAGTCGCCATGCTTGGGCATATACTTTGGCACATGTGGATGATTCTGGGGATCATTCCCGCACGCGAACATCTCAGTGCAAACTACAAGTGACAGGACAATTGCTTGGCAGTCTCAGTACTTTCCACGCTTGTGGTTGGCCCGTACGTTTTTCGTTGTTGTTTACATTCGATTGGTGGGGCACTGCGTTTGCCGGCAAGAAACTGGCGCTGCTAGCTAATTGTTGCACTTACGAAGCACATAGAAGCCATGATATGACCTATGGAAACAGCACAGGGTTGGAGAAATGTCAGTCTCTCGTCACTGTAGAGGTTGAGGCCAAACGAGTAGAACACTTACACTCGAGCGATAAACGACAGCAATTGTACTTGCAAGCTGTTTTTGACCTGCGATACATCCTTCCCAAGTATGTTTCGGACATGGAACGCCATAAGATGTTGCTGATTGTCTGATGCACCTCAAAATTCGCGGTATCGAGCAAGAACGCGTCCGCGTCGGTGAATGCGAATTGGGTGTAAGGATTAAGATGGATCACAAAGGGAGTATATTTCACGACGGCAAGAGTTTGGATTGTCTTCTCGTTGCTGTGGGACAGTTTGATTGCTGATTGAGGCGGAAAATCAAGCCGGGCCAGTGAAGAGGCGAGGTTTTAATGAGGAAAGTCCTAATCATGAGATAAGCCAATATTTATGTTTATATACGTGCATCGTCATAACTTGTGAAACTTGAGTAACGCAGCTGACAGCCTTCGACGATGTGGCCTTGTTATCCGTCCATCAGAATACCACCATCAAATGAGAAAGGAAGCTGGGTTAGCTGAAGGGCAGTAGGCAGCACAGTTGATATGCACAATTACCTTAGCCTGCGATTGACTTTGTCATTTTAAATTCGCAGAAGCATCCTTCGTGCAGTTACGAAGCCTATCTTAAGACGATTTAGCCCCAATGAACGACACGATCAATTCAGGATAGCATCATTCCGAGTCTCTGATAAAATGCAAACGGACGACAGTCTAGCAGTGTCGAGCGTCGGATCATAGAAATATAACGTAGGATCCGTGAGAAATATGGCGCCGAACGTCAATCGTGCGCTATTATATATATGGATAGCATATATATATTCCGCTATGTCATCAGTTTAGATCGTGCCCTTACAAACGGAGAAGTGCTGGCTTGCCTGTAATAAGACATCCTCCATTTTCGGGATGACATCGGCGTCCTTTGCGCGACCCAAACGCGTGCAAAAGAATGAGCCAAAGGAAGCATGCGAGAATTCTCAGCAAAACATGCAGAGCACTTGATCAAAAGACACCGGCAATCGCATCCCGACCACTCATTCCGTCTTATGATGCCAGTCGTGCAAGGAGGATGCCCTAGTGTTATGCATGTCCAGCTTATTGATCTCCATCAGCACGATGGAGCCTGTTCAATCGGCAGGGCAAATTCTGCATCTAGCCAAGTCGCAAGGACTTGGATTGCTCATGCACCTTACCGTTGCATACGCTTGGAAGGTCGTCGCACGGCTCCATTCCAGCCCGAAGACAGCCAGAGCCCAGAACTACCTGCGACTATCAGCCTGAAGGGAATATACATGCCGTAAGCCGACGACCTATTACTCACTGGAGAAGTTCTCACGCGCATGTCCGCCATACGTGTCAGGCTTGCGGGATCATGAGTAAGAGATTTTGAGGCGTTCCTGCGACATAATCCGAAACTTCCGGCATTCTAGAGGTGAGGCAGCACTTTCGTTTCTAGACTCAAGGACTGTCCTCTTAAATCAGAAAAACATTCCTTGAGTGTCATCGCCCTGTTTCGTTGTAGCGTCGTACCGCTCGCGGCGGTCAGATCTCCCAGGATTGGGGTGAGCCACTGCGATTGATAGCCATCGAGTGATTCTCAGTCGATGCGAGCGTATGGAATTGATATAAGGCAGGTGTAAGTAGACTGCTCGCGAGTCGTCGACGACAGCCAGAAGGTTCAACATTCATTCATGGAGAAAGCATCGCCGAGTGGAGAGGTCACACAATCACAAAAGGCACGTGCATGTGACAGGTCGCGGCTTCCGTAATCTTTCTTTCGCAGACTTGCCGTGCTACTACACCAACTCGTAAAGCTGCTTCATTGGAAGCATCTTATCCTTAGACCGCGTACTGTTCTCAATCTCTGTTTCTCATATGCTATCTTCTGCACGATGGCCGACGAAGTAGACTGCTCTTCAATCTGTCTCGCTATGCTCATCAGGGATGTTTTGTCTTCATACGCATGCGACGAGCTATGATCTTCTTCTACTCACCTCACCCTTGCGATGTTGCTCTTGAGTTCGTATAACACACAGAAATTGCCGCTTATCACTACACTTTCACTCGAGACTTCCTCAGTGTCCGAACGCCTCTGCAGGAGCATCGAGCACACTGGACACGATGAGCTGGCGGCTTGAATGGCTAGGGAGAATCACGTCGATTGATCGTGACCACGGATTGTCCGGATGCTTCATCCATCTTCGCTAAAGCTTTCGAGACCGTCCACCAATTCTTTTGCAAACGTCCTATGCGGCGGCTGCCAGAAGATATTCAGAAGGCCTTCCATGATAATTTTGCCTTCATAAGTGGCTTCCAGTCGCATTCCGATGAGTAGTCGTACAAAGGACTAAGAGTCTTAAGCCTGTCAGGTTCCGTCTCATACCTGCACTCTCAGCTGTTCGACCTCAACTCCCATGTGATTATTTACTTCTCAACGTTGTGCTTTGTACTCTCACGAATACCTTCTGTTTAAGTCCTCATCATTGGTAGCTATGCTGCATCAACACCCACCCGTGAAGGCCTCAATATCGTTCTATTTTGGATGGTCAATTTCCCTTTGTAAGTAAATGTTCCGCCGTCTTGCCTCGATTAGACAGTTACGCCATCTTCCTGCCAAGCAACCGGTCATCGTTCCCATCCATCCGGCATTATCTGCCACTCATCAATGTAGAAGGTGATCTCGCTGCGCAAACATTCGTGCGTGAGATGTATGATTTACGTGCGTAATGTGCTGCCATGTTGCTATCAGAGCCCATGTACTGACTTGACAACCGGAAGCCTGGCTCGACCATCGAATTCAATCAATATTTGCGTGAGACGTAGGTATTTCTCTTTGCTACCTCGTCGGTGGTACCGCACTTGCGTCATCACCGTATGGCTGTGATATGTGTACCGGCGTTTTTTACTTGGTATGTGCGCCATATATGCGCATTATAGGATAATCACGTCACGTCTTGATCTCCTCCGACATCGTTCCCGGGCATTTTCTCAGATACGGGCTATCGGCGCCGAGAGCGACGTATGGAATGTCGTCCGCTACGAGTTTGAGCGTCTGCTTGTTCGGTACGCTTTCTCGTCCGGCGTTCGCGTCTTTTTACCAGGCTCGCGTGGTCGACATCGTCTTTGATGACTCGAGCAAGTCGACCACCGGGAGCTGCTCACTGCGTCGCCATGGCGCCTTTACCCCTCAATGAGGATGAAGAAGTGATGTGCAAGTTCAAGCGCCCAGTCTTCGGCCTGTATGGGACAGTCATGGGAGACAAAGGGCGAGATCGCGTTCGACTTCTGGATCGACAGTAGCCGGCGTACGGCATTGATGAGCAGTGCGATCAGCCAGGTTCAGACTGCGCAATGTGCTGCACGAGGACCGCGTCTCAAAACATGGAACGACTTGTTTGGATCAGTCTATACGCATGCTCAGCCGATGATACATCCATATGAAGAGCCTAAACGCATCCTTAAAACACGGAACAGCATGCCGCATCATCGATCCGCCAGAGCTGTTCAAGCGCTCACGAGATGATTTGTCCAACATCATGCACGGTGACACATGCGACTGACGACGATGAGAGGTATATTCGTCCAAGACCATCTAAGGCTACGGGTACATAACATTATGCGGCTATATTATGCGCTACGATATACCGATATAACGTTATGCATTACGAGCCGGTATGCATTATGAGGGGTATGCGATACAATGAGAGCGTCCGTGGACCGTGCCCGTGCCCGCATTCATGGTCCGTCCAGGACGCACTCCCGCATGACATGACAAGAGAGAGAGAGGTATGAAAAAGCTGTGGGAGCTATGGAATACAATGCGAATGCGATGCGATGCGATGATTAATGTCTGTCTGTCTGGCGATGAGATGGAGACGGAAGATGCGAGATCAGAGAATGTGGACGGGGCGGTCATGCAAGTCATGACGAGAATACGTGGTCAGCGGTTCGGCGCGCTGTTGTGCATTTTGGGCTGCACCGTCTGCTTGGCGAGCTCTTGCTGGTGGTGCCATACTAGCTCTGCCCAGAGTGGATTGGGCGGGATGCGTCCCACAAGGGCTCGTAGCACCTCCAGCCTGTGCATGCAAAAAATGTACTTAGCTTGGGCGAGTCCAATTAGTTAGAGGGAACGTACCATCTCGCCTTGTCCTCATCCGTATCAGCAAAGAATACGATGACCTGATCGTGAGTAAACAACAGGCGGAAGGATCGCTGCGCGCCATAGGGCCCATCAAACTCGTCGAGGTGCCGACTATGCGAGCTTGACCCAGACGAAGGGCTCTTCATCGACGAACGAATGTCCTCATCGTCCTCAACTGCAGTCAGCTTTCTCAAGTCGATAACCGATGTTATTTTCTTCGTGACGTCATTATGGGCTACGAGCTTGGACCCGGTCAGCCTGAAGTGGCGTCGCCGCCAAGACTACTTACGCGTCAGTCTACTCCCCCAAAGGTTATATGGAGCATCATTCACTCACATTGCAATCGCCACCATACTGTGTCAGCGTACCCTCGAAATAGGTCACCTTATGCCACGCAGTATGCCTCAAGCCACGGTGGCACTCCTCCAGGCTTTGCGGCAGCTGCTCCGCCGCGACGCCCGGCAGCGGAGGCAACCTGAAGATCTGCAGCATGATCTCACCGACCTGCATCGTCTTTGTTGTCGTCTTGCTCTCCGCGCGCTGCCCGATAAGCGGATAGCTCGTCTCGAGCAGCTTCGTGTCGCACCGCGCTGCAATGTCCCGAAATGACACGAACGCGCGCGCAAATGTCCCGTCCCCTTTCAGGTACCGCGCCAGGTTCTCTACCATCCGCGGCTCGGAGGACGCGGGCACGGGCGCGGGAGTCGCGGCGGGCGGTGGCATGATCGCTCGACTGTTCTTTTTGGGCCCGGACTGCCAGAAGAAGGGGCGTTTGCCGCCCTTGGAAGCGGGAGGAGGTGCCTGTCGGGTGACGGGTTGCGTAGGAGGGGGTGGTGGTGGGTCATTCGCTTTGAACTGCATTATGATGTGTGGATCGCGGCGGACTTTAATCGTCAGCGTGAACTCGAGCTTGCTATGTTCAATGCTAGAAATAATGCCCATAAATGATCAGCCTCTGTCCTACAACGAATAATAGTATAGAAGCCATACAGCTCGAACTCCTGCTCGATCCGGCACTCTCGCTCGAGCCGACATTCAGGCGTGGTGACATAGTGTATGCCATTGTTCAACGTGCAGTTGATGACAGTCGGGTGGTCAGGTATAGGAGGGACGATGCTCTTGATCCCAAGCACTGGAGGATACCGTCAATCAAATCCAACCACCGATCGGTATGATCCACACATACCTTTAACGAACACCTTCCCGTACATCTTGCCCGACTTGTCTTGCGCATGCAGCTCTCTGATCTGGTCCGCATACTCGTTCTAAAAGACGAAATGAGTTCCGTCAATGTCAGCAGTGAACACGCTCCGCACCATATCCGACGGCTGCCTGACCGTCTTCCACGCCCGATCAGGTTCGACTTCTACCGCAATATCAGCAGAAGATGCATGCCCCACATCCGAGGTTGCATAAATCATTTCTTTGTGCTCTCGAACGCGATATTTCTGTCGTGGAACATAAGTATCACCGACGGCACCTGTAACAAAGCGATGATAGTCATCCTCGACCCCACTTACGCTCTTGGCCGCAACTTCCAGCCGCTTCAACTCACGATTGATGCTGTACTCCAACGGGTCCTCCTTCTCGATCGGCAGCATGTCCAACAACCCACCGCTGCGCACTTCCACTGCGCTCGCACTCTTCGTCCTCCGCTTTCCCGGCCGTCCTTCTGTCTCCTGAGTCTCCTTCACCACGTCTCGCCCTCTATCATCACGATCCTTCGTAGGCGGCATCGGCACTGGTGCAGGCGCAGGCGCAGGGCGCTCCTCGTCCTCGTCGGGAGGAGATATGCGGAACTCCAGCGGAGCAGGCTCGCTTCGCGACCGCGCATGACCAGGGCGGCGGGCATCCACCGTCTCAATCTCGTATGCCGCCTCGTCCGAGGGCGTCGGGATGTTATCAAACTGGAGCGCCTTGATGCCCTCCGCGACAGCGTCCACCTGTGCCTGCGCATGCTCCACAGCGGACGGGGCGTTCGTACTAGTTTGTGCAACATCCTTGATCAGCTGATCCAGCGCGCTCACGTCCTCCAGGCGCTGTGCAGGCGGACGACTCTCGTCTAAACCCTCACCAAGCGCGGGTTCCTGCAATGGAGTAACTGTGTCCGTGTGCGCGCGCGTGTGGATTGTCGGGCGCGGCGGGTCGATTGGCTGTGGCTCGGGGTCAAGAGCGAGCACGCCGTCGTGTGTTAGGTTCATCGCGCGGTTCATGCGTGGCCGCACGAGGCTCTCCGTGCCAATCTTCGCATCCTGCTCATCGTCCGCCTCATGCTCCATGTCGTCAGGTTCGGTATCCTTGGCACTCGGGTCCGAGATGATTGATGTATCGTTATCCAACCTCGTTTCCACCGCACGCCTGAGCGGCGACCCGAGCCCCCGCCGCCCCGTCTGTGACGCGATGAACGGCCAAACCGGAGGTGGCAACCCACTCGCAAGGGACAACGGGCTCGGTGGAACGCCATCCTTGGGCGGGACGGGCGGAGTGAGGGTGAGTCCGCGTGGGAGCGAAATGGGTGACGGCTCGATCCGGTCCAGGAGCGGAGAGGCGCGCGCTTGGCTGTCGCTGAAACGACTCTTGTCTGGTGCAAGGACGGGGGGCATGGAGGATGGAGGAGACGAGAGTGCTGCGCGGGATATTGGGGGTGTCTCATCCGTTGTTAGAGGTTCCGAGCGCGCGAGGCCGTGCAGCGAGACTTCGGAGTGCCCGATTGAGAGATGGGTGGGGTCCATGCCGGCGTCTGATGGGAGCTGGGGCGGTGTCGAGGGCTCAGGCGGAGGGAGTGGTTTGCTGTGGACGTCAAGAAGCAGGGAACAATTTTCGGCATCTGAGAGACAGTTAGTGGGAAAGGACTTGCCCCTTCTAGGAAACACCTACAGCGTGCGGACAGGCGAGCGTCCATTACGTCGCGCTCGCCAGTTATGTAGGGGAGAGTATCATCCTCGGCAATGTCGGGGAGAACCCGATGTTCTGGCGAGTATGGAGATGGGAGAGGCTCCTCGAACGGTTCATGTGCGTCTGCTGGCGCGAGGGACGCCAACGTGAGCTTGCTGGGCGGGACGGGCGAGTCGAGCGGCGAGCTTGGGTTGGCAGCAGGTATCCGTGGTGGGCGAGGAGTAGTTGCACCTGGGACATCGATATCAAATGCGGCCCTTGTGGGGCCATATGGGACACTGTCGACGCTATCAATATCAGACGGAAGCGAGTGCGGAGAAGGATGCGAGTGGTCCTTGAGCATCGAGTCCATCAGACCAGTGATGCTGTCATTGCCCGCCTGCGAGCTGTCGTAGCTCTCCTCCGACGGCTGCGGGTGTCGCACGCTGTCATCGTCATCATCAACGTCGTCACCATCCTCCTCCCTCTCGTCGTCAAACTCATCCTCCTCGCCCGACTCGAACACATCCTCGTCAAACTCGTCCTCCTCGACGTCGAACTCGACGACCTCGCAGCGTTCGTCGAAGCTGACCGTCTTGCGGCGATGGCGGCGGCTGTTGACAGAGCCCGTGGTGGTGCCGCGGGGGCCATGAAGCCGCTTGGAGACGAGGGATGGGCGGGCGGGGGAGGAGGGGACGGGGAGCGGGGGGGCGAGTTTGGGCGGGAGGAGGGGCGGGTCAGGGACGGGCTCTGGCTGCTTGAAGGGGCTGTTGGAGACAGGCTCCTTGACGAGGAGGCCCTCGAAGACCTTTGACTGACGGCGCTTGAAGCCCAGGGGGTGCTCGTTCTCAGCCTGTGCGGCCATCGATAACGGCCGGGGCCGCTTCTCGCCGCTTACGCGGGGAGGCTCGTCGTCAGCCGCCTGCGAGCGAAACGGCGACTTGGACACCAGTCGGTTGCTCTTGAGGTGCTTGTAGCTGTTCGACTGGCGGCGGGAAAGCTGTGCGCCGGGATTGGGCTGGGGCGAGTCACGTTTGGCGATGCGGAGAGGAGTGGTGGGGGTGACGAGCCAGGCAGGGTCAGGTTCTGGCGTTGTGGACTGGCGACGGTCTCTGAGAGGCAGGCCCGAGGCCATCATGGGCGGCGGCGAGGAGAGGGGAAGGGACGGCGAGCTAAGCGAGCTGGCGGGTGCTGGCGTGCGATGGCCCGATGTGCGCGACCCCGCCGCGTGTTCGTCTCTCCGTGGGAATCTCCGCCACATCTTGCTCTACGCGCCACACGTGACCGCGTCCCTCTGACGTCGACCCATTCGTCTGCTCGCTCCCGCACCGCTTACCGCAGGTCTTATCACCGTAAAATTGTGCCTTGGACCTATAAAGTCATGCCTTTGCGAAAAAGAGCGAGAAATGACGAAAATTCGGGAGCGAACACGCCCGCAGACTCGTCGACCAACGAGCAGGACGAACAGCAGAAGAAGGAACTCGTCCACGAGCTCAAGAAGCACGAGGCATGTCTATCTCTTCCGCTAATCTCGGTGGCATCATGGACTAATAATTTGTATCTAATTTGGGTTTGGCAAACTTCTTATTGTTCATTACAGAGAGGTCGCCACTTTTTCTCAACGAGGCGCTTTCTATTTCCTTTGGGCATCTTAGGCGAGTAACAACCCATCAATATCTGATAGCTTTGATCTAATCACGATTATGCATCAACAGTGGGCGTTCTGCTCGGATTCATCATGATCCAACCAAGCGACTTGACCGACTTTCAAACGCACCTCGCACTGCTCCTCGACCAGTACGAGCTCAGCGTCCCTACGTTCCCAGACCTTCCAGTCGACCTTACACGCTTAGAGAGCGAATGGCGAAGGCTCTGGAGCAATGTGCCTGAACCTTGGAAGCTCAACACGAACGGGCTCGAATTCACCGTTGGGGAGAAGATAGCGGCAGAAGGTTTGAGCGCCAAGCATCCTGTAGTCTTGATCCCTGGAATCATCTCAACCGTGAGTCTCCGGCATATACTCTGCCTCAGTGTATTGCAACGAGCTCTGGATAGAGTCTTGAATCGTGGTCGACCGCGCCGGACTACCGCCCGTTCTTTCGCCAGAAGTTGTGGGGCGGGTTCACGATGCTCTCCCAGGTTATGTTCAATAAGGAGAAGTGGATAAATGCTTTGATGCTCGACTCTATCACGGGGCTTGACCGGCCCGGCGCCAAGGTGAGGGCAGCTGAGGGCATCGACGCTGCCAGCAGCTTCATCCAAGGATACTGGCTATGGTGTGTTGCCGGACGACACGTCAATGCAGCGCTATAAGTGAAACATTGATGTAGGTCAAAGATTGTGGAGAACCTCGCCGTCGTCAACTACGACACAAACAACCTACATCTCGCACCATATGACTGGCGCCTGTCGTGCTATAACCTCGAAGAGCGGGACGGTTACTTCACCAAGCTCAAGACGACCATTGAAGGGTTCAGGTATGTCGCCTCGTACATGCTATTGCGTGCTGCCTTTGATTACGGATTCATTGGGCCCAGAACACGCGAGAATAGACGAGTGGTGCTCGTAGCACACTCTATGGGAGCCAACGTGCGCAGCAACGCCTGTCATAGTAAACATATCACACTGATGCGCCATCGTTGCTCAGGTCATGATGGTGCGCTGATCATCGCGGTGCACCACAGGATTGGATGCTGATCACGGTGACAGTATTTGTATGTCTATTTGACGGCGCGAGAGACACTGCGATTGGCACTGACATGTTGCTCTCACGCGTGTCTCACGCCAATGCCATCTAATTTTGGTTGACATGAAGCTTCAAATGGGTGGAGTCGCCCATGCACGGAAAAGGCGGCTCGAATTGGGTTGAGGTATGTCCCAGCGCTGTCTTTGTCCATCTCCATCGGCTATGAAGGCAATACGGTATTGATCCGTCACTACCAAAGAAACATATAGAGGCTCTGGTGACTATTGGCGGATCCTATCTGGTGTGTCGCATTCTCCGGTTGTACAAGCAGCTACTCAGAAAACACAACGCATATAGGGAGTGGTGGGTCCACCAATCCAAAGCGATGCTCAAAGGAGGAACTTTACTTACACGTGCCCCCCTCTCTTTTAGGTCAAGTCAATGTCTTCCTTCCTTTCTGGCGAGATGAAAGATACGGTGCAGATCCACCCTGCCGGCGCATACGGTACAGACCACTTCCGTCATGCACGCTCTCCACTTCTCACCTCTCAATAGTGCTCGAGCGCTTCTTCTCTCGTAAAGAGCGCCAGAAGCTCTTCCTCAGCTGGGCTGGCAGTGCAAGCATGTGGATAAAGGCAAGCAAGCAAGCTCTCATTCCCGCACACGTCCTCATGGTCCTCCCTCAGGGCGGCGACGCGGTTTGGGGAAATGCGACGTTCGCGCCAGACGACGTGGTAGCCAACACGCAGAGCCACGGTGAGCTCATTGTCTTCCGTGAAGCTGTCCTCGCGAGCGAGGATGAAGGCACGCAAGTCACGAACATGACTGCGCAGGAAGCTGGGAACTGGGTCCTGGAGCGGACACCCGTGGCATTTCAGGTGCGTGGTTCGTCGAATGGGCGGATGAACTCGATGTGTGAGCGCCAACGATGTGATGGCCCCATTTAGCGGATGATGGAGACCAACTACTCGTTTGGAATCGAGCGGGACGAGAAGGCACTCAAGCGTAACAATCTCGACCACAGAAAATGGACGAACCCGTTAGAGATACAGTGAGTCTTACCGGCAGATAACTTGCTAGGCTGATTGAACGATGTGCAGACTGCCTTATGCTCCAACGACGAAGTTTTATTGCCTGTATGGGCACGGAAAGGAAACCGAGGTGAGCTCACAGCACCTAAAATATTCACCTAGCTCTCACCTTCTATCTCGTCAGCGTTCCTACTGGTAGGTCATTAAGCATCCCCTCTCCTCTCCTCCCTTACCACATGAGCGCCCTATCTCAGGTATACTCGCGAAGAATATGAATACGACGAGGTCCAGCCGGATATGGTCGATGCCTCCTGCTCAAACACCACCGACTGTATCACGCCCCGTCCACCACTCGACATGCCGTTCTCACGAAACAGCCATATCGACGCGGAATATACCGATGAGAGCGCCGTCCCGAAGGTGATCAACGGCGTGCGGATGGGCGAGGGCGATGGCACGGTGAACCTGCTTAGTCTCGGCGCGATGTGCGTGGAGGGCTGGAAACGCAAACGGTGGAACCCCGCGGGTATCGAGGTTGTCACGGTTGAGGTACGCATGCATGTCCATTCAAGTCTTAGGGGACAGGGGATGGTTACTGACATGCGAAATGGACAGCTTCCACACAACCCCTCAGCAAAGATTCCTCGGGGCGGCGGCACGACGAGCGATCATGTCGACATCCTCGGCTCGACCTCGCTGAACGAGATCATCCTTCGGATTGCCACGGGTGCAGGAGATCAGATACACGATTCACTGATCTCGAACATCCGCGAATACGTCAAGCGGATCCAGTGGGATTGATTTGCGGTAGACGAACAAAGAGACATGGACTCCTACTATAGAACAGCATAGCTTCGGGCACGACGCAGCACATACAGTGCCTTGCGAACAACAATGCATAGGCATTCAGAATCGCCGTCTGTCTTGGATGCAACATGCGTTGTTCAGGTTTGCGAAGACCTCCGCAGTCCCAGCTGACCCCTCCTCAATCTCACAACAAAGCCATCCACTGCCTCCTCCTCAAGACTGTTCAGCCCATTTCCGTGCTCAGAGTGTATGACTCTGCGAGCGTTTACTTTATCAAGCACCATCTTGACCTCTGCGTCGGCCTCAATCCGTTCAGCGCTTGAAGATAGCAGCGACATGCTGTGGTGCGCTAGGACTTCCTTGAGCTTTGCTGGGTCTACGATCGGTGTATGCACGTCCAACAGGCCAGGCACGTCTTGCTGCGGGATAATTGTCTCCTTTGACTGCCGATCCAACGGCTTTGGCTCATTATCCACTGCCGTTGTCGATGAGGTAGGGATATCCGTGAGCTGCTCCAGTCTCTTGCGCACGGCCTCGTGCTGTTCAGGCGTGGTTGGGCTGAACAGGTGCACGCAGAAGTCGAGGGCTTTCTGCAGCTCGTCCTCGGAGAGGCGCGTGCCCATCTCCGCTCCACCTTGGATGACTGGATCGCACAGTCAGGCCGGGATAATGGCACCTGTGAGTCTGAGAGATCGAACTACATACCTGGTCGAAGGAACACGAATGCCTTGTCAAAGCTGCCCTGGTCTACGTCGGCCAACACGTTTTGCTTCTGCGCGCGAATCTGCTTGTATGCGCTAAGGACGACGACCAAGAACCTGCATGGTGCGGCGTGGGCATTGCGAAGGATGAAAGAGGCGCATATAATCAACCTACCTGGTATACGAGATCGCGACCCGGCTACTATGCCACTGTGCGGCCTCGAGCTCGGAGCAGTCTCCGCGTATCGAGGCGGAGATGGATGCGGCAGCTGATAGCCCGCCTGTGAGCGCGAGGTGAACCCCGGAAGAGAAGAACGGGTCAATGAACGCTATACGTAAAGTCTGAGTTCGCTGTATGCGAAGCGGTGAGAGCTGTGTGCGCACCTCCAGCGTCTCCGATAATACGAAAGCCCTCTCCCGCATAGGTATTTGCAGAGTAGCTGAAGTCGCTCGTGCTGCGCACCGCAGGGCCCTCACCGCCCTCTGCGCAGTTTTCGTCCATACCTACCAGCTCACCATCTCCGATGAGCTTCAGCACGCCCGGCGCAAGCTGGAGGAGGCTCTGATAGCGCTCTGCGAGCGTGGAGGATGTGCGCGTCGAGAGCGATCGGTGGCGCTTGCCTGGCAGTGGCGGTGTTTGGACCGTACTGGCGGAAGAGGAGGCACGAGAGCGGAGGCCGAGTTGCTTTTTGTCCATGACGACGCCAACTGATGTTAGCCCCTTGTGTAGTGGGATGAACCACGCCCAGCCAGATTCATCTGAGGAACACATGTATACAACGGGTAAAATGAAGAAGACCACGCCTCATGAGCCAATGTCAGTCGAAACGCAAAAGAATGGCGTACCGCTCAGAGCTTCAAACCACGGTGCGTTCTCGCGCCCCGTTCCCGCGCCGTACATATCGGTGCCTCGCCAGTAGCCCCAGACAGCCACGTTCCTGAGCGACTCATTGAAGCGTCTGTTTCGCAGGTACCTGTGATAAGTGATGTTAGCCGTGTGCGGTATGCCTTCACAAACTAGCGTACTTTGTGCTCATCAGGCCCGCACGTCCACTAGCATCCACCAAGAAGTCGAACGCAATCTCGCCCTTGCCTCCCATGACGGTCTCGTACACGGCAGAGGTCGGACGCCCAAGCTCATGTACCGCTTCTTCATCTTCATCTTCATCGACAGTGTAGAGGCCAGTGCGACGTGGTGAGGAGGTCCCGGCGGTCGACTTGCTCGAGTCGTCAAAGATGATCTCGGTCACGCGAGTCTGTTCAAAGACGCGGACGCCGGACGAGGAAGAGTGCTGGAGGAGCAAGTGATCAAATTCGGAGCGGACGACGTTCCACGCATTGTTCTCGGCACCGAGAGCGACGAAGTCCGTGTCTGATAAACACACTCATTATTAGTCGAGGAACGGTCACGGAAGGAATCAAAAGCCGATGTGGTGATGAAAAATCTGCGTATCCGGCGCGTATGTCAGATGAGGAACATCGATACACATGGATGTAAACGCGATGCCTCCGGCAAGGAAAGTAACACATTACTTACATCCTTCACGCATATATTGATTGAATTTGATGGCCGAGCCAGGCTTCCGGTCGCCAGATTAGCAGATGGGCCTTGACAGCAAAACGACAGCTTGAGGACATCAATTGCTCACCTTGCGCGTAAACCCGTATGCAGCGATCTTCTCTTCCACATCAATGAACCGCAAATAATGGCGCACGGACGGGAGTAAAGATTCGCCAATATGGTAGCTAGTGGGAAGATGGCATTCACTACGTCATCGAGGCAACTCTGTGGAGACATGTGCATACCGAGGAAACTTGGCCATCTCGAACAGAACGACGTTGAATCCTTCGCGGGCGAGTGTCGAGGCAGCATAGCTCCCGGCAGGGCCACCACCAATGACGAGGACCTGAGTTCGCTGTAGAAGACGTTTGGCCGTAAGCACAATCGCATAGACCTCAACCACCGTTCACCTTCGGAGGTTCGGCGGAAGGCATTTTGTAAAGGTCAAGAGGGAATAGGATCAAGCAAGCACCGAACTAGAAACAGTATGGATATGAGGTGCAGTGTAGAAACCGCGCGAGACCCTGGCGCTTTTGTACCACGCACGGGCCTCGGCTAAGGGGATTGCGTAAAGCCTTCAAGGAGACCACCCCTCTTACACAACGCCGCTTCGAACGGCCTTCGGGACGTATATAAGAGATCTGATGGGCGACCTTAGGAGCTTCAGCAAAGACGAACAAGGATTCCTGGCAGTCCGTGATCGCGGCCATTGAAGCGCCCAGCTCTTCACATTTGCTAAAAACAAGAGATGACGAGCAGGACGGAGTGGCGCCCCTTCGAACGTTCTTCAACACACAGGCAACATCCTTTCAGCGAGAAGACTGGGGGAAGTTCGTGGCATGTCGTACACAAATGGAAGACGACGCATCTCTTGACCTGATAAGCGTGGCAAAGCGGTCCACCTAGGCCAGCGGACGCGCAATTCATACGAGTCAATGGACGCATCAGGAACGAATCGCGAGAGGCAAACGCGACCACAATGCTTTGTGCCGAGTTGACTGAAGGAAGACGGCAGCCTTTCTAGTCAGTGTAGCCCCTAAGCTGATGCTGTCAGAGTTCTGAAACTGCAGAAGAGTCTGAAGAAGCGGCCTTGAAACACGACCTGTCACACCCACGTGTTCCTGGGCGATGACGTGACCGCCCATCTCTGCCTCTGGATTTCACCTATCACTCGCGGAAGGATGTTTGCTTGCACAGTGCTTATCGTGCTTAGTGGCATTTGCACCGAATGGAACATATCTGGTCACATTGTTATCAATGGGCCCAGGACTGGCACGAGTCCTAGGCTCTGACAGGTCTCCGAGCGCCGAGCGGGACCCGAAGTGTCATTGACTTGTTATAGCTTGACAGCGAAAATGTTTCTCTTTGGTTTTACAGAGACAATTCATCGGTTTAAGAACAGAGAAGGCTCCACATGTCGCTCCACATCACGACATGTTTCTGTGAAATGCGAGCCTACCTTTCATACTAGTGCGTCCGACTTCGGTTTGAGGCTATTGCGCAATCATAGAGTTTCCTGGCAGGGAATTCCGGAGATCTGAGAACGGCACTTGGATGGCACACAAGTTGCAAGGGTAACAAGCACAAGCTTGCTTCATTAGCAATATATCGGCTTATATGCATTTTCTATTCGCTTTAGCCCGATCGCTGCTGTTTTTCTTGGATTTTGACGGCTTCTGAGTTGGCAAGATGCGACAACAGACAGCGTTCTCAAGCTCAAACCTCATTTCTTACATCTTCGCTCAATTCAAGCTCTCTCCATGAGCTGAACATGCATCGTGGTGCTGGATGCCATGTTGTATATGCATGCAGTCCACCAAGGCATTCATTTTTCTCACCGCACATAACACGAGAACGGTCTGAGTTTATGGCCAAGACGACAGGCTTACGCGCTCTGCATCTCGCCGCGAGAATCCTTGTAAGATGGTCTTGGTTCCTCTCTCGAGGCGACCCACAAGGCTCCTGCAAAGCGAGTCCGCCCGGGATGTCATGACTTAACATCATATAGTCACTAGGACTGCCAGTCATTCTCAGGCAATTATACGGTCACCGCGCCTTTCTGGAAACTCGGCATCAGGAAGATCTCTCACTTACTTGTGCTCCCAGGACCTACTTATCGGCTTGAAGCTGCTTATACAAGTGAGAAGATGTCAATCAGCCGCCATTCAAGCTTTCAAGCCCGGATAAGTAGATTACATTTCTTGTGTTTATTTATTTCTCTGCTCACAATCTTGATCTCCCTGAATAAGCAGATCCAAGCGTGATAAGTAAGAGAAGACTTTCCTGATGGCACGCGATGTGCTGTTTGACGTATTGTTAGGATGATGTGACTTGCAATCTTCTCGTATATGAACAAATTGTGATTGTTATGGCCAGCCCGCAAGACGCCCAACCTGCTCAGGGTAGATCTAACTGCAAGCAAGCTGGCGTAGCATCCAGAGGTTGGCTGTGAAACATATCGATTAGTACGATATTTCGGTATTAATAGCAGCTCGGAACTGCGCGGATCTGAATTTGGCCGATCCAAACTACGATAATGATAGTGCGCGATCGGACAATCCGCTTACGCCCTCCCATTGGCTCCCGGGTAATATCCCGACTCGCATCGGAGATAGCAGCCCCGCATCCGCCGCTTCGAAATGCTTCGTTCTGAAGAGTTGGCGCGTAATGGTCTTTCCGGGCGAAGAAGTTTGTGTGACGAGCACTCGAATGGACGGTGCTGACAAAATAGTCTCGGACGTTGATGCATATGGATGACGAGGGCCTCGTCGAAGGATGACAAACCTCGGTGACAGAGAGAGCGCTGGAGGAGCGAGAAGGTATATAAACCAGGCATTCGCAAGTGGGAAGTCTCATCCTCATCAATCTACCATTTCTTCAGTCATAAGCTACACATCCATCGATCATGCCATCCTACGTCATAACAGGAGCATCCCGAGGCATTGGGGTATGTTTCCTTCCTCATCTCCGATTCTTGCATCTCGCTAACAGCCGATCGTCGATCGTGTATAGCTCGAGTTTGTGCGGCAATTGGTTCGTCCCTGTTGATCACCCGCTATTTTGCTCAGATTGACCCTGAATATGATTTTCATTGGCAGAGCACCAGCGCAGACAACGTCGTCTTCGGCCTCGTCCGCAACAAAGCCACCGCGACAAAGCTCTTCGACCTGGCGCGCGACGCGCCACACTCGAACGTCCACATCCTACAGGCGGATGTGCTCGACCTGAAAGCACTCAAGGTGGGACTCCTCTGTACACATGATACCGTCCTCCTCACCACGACTTTCTCTGTCCAGGCGGCTGCAGAGGAGGTCTCCAAGGTCACAGGCGGCTCGCTAGACTACCTGATCAACAATGCTGCTTACCTGGAAGTGGAACGACGCAACCTCCTTCTGGATGAATAGTAAGTGTTCCTTCTTGGGACCGTATCGTCGTGATCCACTGCTTACGTCCATCCAAGCCCTGCGGACCTTGTCGACAAGGACATCGTTGACTCGGTCTGTGATCCCATGTTTTCATTCATCTTCCACTTATCAACATATGCCACAACAGATTCGCGTGAACGTCGTCGGCGTCATCCACACGACTAATGCCTTTCTGCCGCTACTTCGCGTGTCCTCAGCTCAACCAGCCAAAGTAATCTCGCTCGGCTCTGGTCTCAGCGATCCCGACTTCACCGTCTCGACCGGATTTGCGAGCAGTGCGCCGTATGCAATCAGCAAAGCCGCCTTGGTCCTCACGATCGCGAAGTACGCGGCAGAGTACAAGGATCAGAACGTGGCGTTCATTACGATCAGCCCCGGTTTGGTGGATACCAGAGGTGCACAGCGTGCGTAAATGCTTGTTTTCGTTGGTATGCTCTCGAATAGAACACTGATCTGCTGATGTTTTTCAGCAACGCCGGAGCTCATACGAGAATACGAAATTATTTCGGAGAAGATCAAGAATGTGTACCCTGATTGGGAGGGCAAACCGCTTACGCCGGAGCAATCGGTGCGCATGATGCTCAAGGTCCTCTCTGGGCTCGGCATGCAAGACACCGGCGCATTCATCTCGCACTTTGGGAACAAGAAGTGGGTATGATCGATGTGGACGCATCGGGCTGACGTGCATAGCTGGCGTATTTGTACGATGTAGTGAAGGATTATTGGATATATACGCATCATCCAAGGCTGCCAATAGTGTGCGCGATATAGCACGTTTGCATATATCTGGCGCATTTGTAAATTGTGATACTGAAACACCGCGCTGCATGCCAAGACCTGCTGATGAATTCGAGTCTACGACGCTCATTATCTCTCCCAAATCAAGAAAGCTGGAAATGCATATTCATGGCAAGAGCCATCGTTCGCCGATGTAACAGTCGAGACACGGAAGGGTGACCAAAATTAGGCACTGAAGAGCTTCAGCTGATGCCACAAAGAGCCGGAAGGATATGCAGCGAAGCGCGGCCTTTATGGCGTTGTAGGATATTGTTACTGTGGGGGGAGAGGATTCGTCCGGGGTGCGTGCACATCGGGCATCCGCGCGAAAGATGTCCGGTGTCCTGCCCCGTGTGGCCAGGCTCCTAATTCGCTGGCCTGTGATCTGGGGTTCCGAGCCCAACTAAGCCGAATCTCTCGAGCATCAAGTGGTGCGTAGCTGCCGTAGGAGAGATGGCATGACTACACCACCACTAAACACTAGAAAGGAGTGGGTGGGTGAATAATCTCGAAAGCGAGGAAATAGCGAGGTGGTGGCGGAGAGAAGAGACGCGATACCGGAAGTCAGGTGAGCGCGTCTCTTTAGCGCTCGTACCTCACGCTAGTCCCGAACTTCACCCTCGACTCGGTGTACCCAGTCCTACTAGACCCACAACATGTTAGGTATCGAATCGCACAATTTAAAGTTCTAAACCCACGCAGGCCAGGGCAGGTGGCGTCGCCTGGCCTTGCTCGCTAGCGCGGCATCAGGAAAACTCAAATCGGTGGCCAAGCTGGAGAACTCCTCTTTAACCTATTCTTGCTGGTATTAGCTTGACGAGTCAATCAGTGCACGGCAAGAAGCTCCCAACTCGGAGAAAGATCCAAAACAAGGAGGTCCCGAGGACTTCTCCCAGGGACTTGCTGACTTTTTGGTGACGACAAGCGGCTAAAAGCGTCATGAGTTGTATCTGAACCTTTCTGATGGGCGCGTCGTCTATGACCGCCGACAATGCCACTAGTGTTTGAGCTTGAGATGCTAAGACGAAGAATGCCATCGTGACTCCCGGCGGCTCATGTTAATATGATATCAGGTGCGTTTCTCATGTAATTCCATAGCACTCGGTCCTGCAAAGCTCAATTGAATGGCATGGCGTGTATTTTCAAGACTCTAGAAAAATGTTTCATCATGGAGTTTCACCACTAATCAGACTCCCGCCCTTTGCAACAAGTCTCACCCGTTCCCATCATGCCGTTCGCAGTTCCTATTCCTAGCATTATTGCAGCCCGAGGATGACTTTGGTCACAGAGTGGCATTTCACCAATCTGCGCTCCGTGACATTCAGTAAGCCCAGCAATCGTACCATTTATTCGTGTGCCTTACCTGGTTTTTGGCAGCCTCTTGTGCATTCATTGACGTATAGGTCTTCGATCGTTACAAGTGCGTGTCCGTGTCGAACCTAACACGAGTATGCTTCTCTTGTAAATCCTATATGAAATTTGTCAGGGGAGCGCGCGATTACGCATAGGACGAATGGTCGGTGCTGAAAATTGGGTAAGGCGGCGCAGTATCGCTCACACCTAGGTGCGCCATTACAAGTTCGGCGGGGGGTTCAGGGGTATGCTAAGCTGATATTGGGCATTGAAACAGACTATCTCGCATGGTGAGCGTGTTCCTTAAGCTTGGCGGTTGAGCAAGAGATCTCAACAAGACTTGACCGACGTGCTTTTTCTCAGTGCTGTCATTCCTCCGCTTAACTCGAGGCGCGGTGTGAATACTATGATGACGCTTCCTAGTCATATGATATTGTATGCAAAACGGTGAGGGCCTAAAGCATGTGGTCCCAATGAATAAGGTCTGCAATGTGTGAGGATGCATGGATTGCGAACTATAAAAGCTGAGCTCTATTTTACCAGTGCTTCAGTCGATTACTGCCTCTCCTCGACTTGCATTTCTATCCGTGACTTCACCGAGCGACTACAATGCCTCACGTCGAGCAAACCATCGCGTTTCTTGATATCATGAAGCTGGTGCCCTTTCCCATACGTTTGAGCCCGTACACTCGATACACTTCCGCCGACTCGGACGCTTTTATAACGGCGTCTGCCAACTTCACCGAGAAGCAGCGGACCATGTTCGCCGGCTTGAACATTGGGCTACTGGCCGGAATGTGTTTGCAGAGTGCGGTTACACAGAGCTCAGAGTCTCCACGGATTTCCTGAACTTTGTATTCAACCTGGATGACTGGACCGACGAGTTCGACGCGACGGAGATGGAGGGTTTACAGGAGGCCGTGATGAACACGATGCGCTATCCAGAAAACTTCCATTCGGACACCGTCACCGCTCGGATCACCAGATCGTACATATCACTTTCTTGTTTTCATTGGCAGCGCTGACATGGTCTTTCGCCAGGTAATGGACGAGGATGCTCAAGACGAACGGTCCCAACTGCAAGGAATGCTCCATTGACGGAATGGAGTCATTCCTCCGGGCTCTTGCCCAGCAAGCTACCGACCGTGATTTGTCGGTTATCCCGGATCTCGATGCATATATCGCCTTACGCCGTGAGACCAGCGGATGCAAGTCCGCATTCACGTTGATCGAGTATGCCGCCAACATCGACCTCCCCAACGAGGTCTTTGAGGATCCCGTCTTCCAAGACATGATGGCGGCGGCAAACGATAACATCAGCTGGAGTAACGTCCGTCGCCATTGTTTTCTCTAGCTTGGTGTTCTTCCGGTTACGTGGCTGCGCTCATCATGCTCCTTGCGATTTAGGCTGTTTGCTTTGAAGCGGTCCTCGAGTCGTCAAGCGTGTTGACGTGTCACAAACCTATATGCCTTCTATGCGAGGGATTTCTCCTTTTTTTCCTTGTATACTCATGATGCAATAAACTAACTGTTCTCCTATTGTAGGATCTCTTCTCGTACAATCGTGAACAGTCTCGCAAAGATGTGAGTCATGCCTTCGCTATCCACTGTTCAAGTCAATAAACAATGTCCAGCCGCACAATCTCGTCGCCATCATGATGTACACGCATGAGATGGGGAAACAGGCGGCCATTGAGCATGTTGGTGACATGTGCAACAAGGCAGTCGAACGCTTCCTCACCATCAGAGCGAAGCTTCCGTCGTGGGGACCTGAGATCGACGCACAGGTTAAGACGTACATCCAGGGTCTGCAAGACTGGATGAGGGGACGTGCAGAGTGGAGCTTCATGACCGAAAGATACTTCGGCAAGGATGCTCCGGTGATCAGGAAGGGCTTACAGGTGCAGCTTATGCCTGTAGTCGGCACAAATTAGGCTTTGTAACGCATACGGCATAGATGATCTTTCGATTGCCTTGTGCTGATTCTGAAGCGATCAGTGTCAGCTATAGTAGACGGTATATGATTGAGCGTATTTGCCACATGCGCTATAGCGCATACAGCGCTATGTTAGAGCCCTTCGGCAAGAACTTCATCTGGATCTTGGTAGTCGATACGGCTCACCGTACGTCTCCGCAAGAATCGGAACAGACGTTATGAAAGGTTTCATGATACTTGCATTTCCAGAAGATGGATTTCAGTTCGAAACAGCCACGAATTAGTTTTGTATGTTCCAATAATGGCATATTGTGGGCAGCGTATAGCTCAGTTGCAAGAATGTCGGGATCTGAAGTATTGCCACCATTTGCATGGTATGCTGAATATTCTCAACCTCAACGCAGTGAAAAATTGGTTTACCAACGTGCAGCTGTCACGACATCCTTAACGTGTGAAATGCAATGTCGTTCATGATTATCCCAAATTCACCAGGAACGTCAGAATCATACATATTAGTATACAAATTCAACCAAACATCAGTTCATTGCGAGAATGCTTCGTGCTCCACCATTTAAGGCCATTATTGCTAATTGTGATAAATAGTGGATCATGTGCAGGTCAGGCTTGACCTCTTGACCCCAGTCAAGTTCAAGGGGTCAAACCTTGACCCATACATCACTGGTATTAAGGCCCCCCAAACTCCCGAAGTAAGGCTGTGGAGGAGCCTGACACATGAGCGCTTTGTTCCCTCTCTTATTAAGGATCGGCTGCAATCTCATCATCCGCGCCACCAGCGCGTGTGCTCGCGGGACACGATCACGTGTTGTGATATTGTCAAACGCCCAACCAGCTTGATTCCGTGCGTACAGTGTACTCGTTCCTTCCTTGCTCTCACCAAGTCACTTGCTCGCGTGGCTTCCTCCCATCCTGATGCCGTGCAGTGAGAAGCATGCCTTCGCTGACAACATTATCATCTTCGCCGGACGCGTGCGCTCTGCAGGGTGGGTGCGCAGGGCAGAGTTGGACGCCGCGCTGGCAGGAGAGAGTGCTGAGCCCGTCGAGCACTAGCTCAATTGTACGACGAAAATTCTGAATCAATAGTTCTGGCAGCACAAAAAAACTGCATCCTAAACTGACCACGTAGTTAGTCCTCCGAAACTGTTGCGATTTCCAGCCCATGGCCATGGTCTGCAAAGATGAAACCAGAAATGTTGAACAGCTTGTTATATGCACTCAACGACTTTGCGATTGGTTGAGCCATGGTACGTAGTGAACCGTTCTTTCACGAAGATGGCATCTGTGCTAGTTTAGCCTCTTACATGAACCACTAGTCCCGCCGGCTAGCGCAAACTAGACAGCTTTGTGTGGTCCCTCCATTTTGTCATGCACTAGAAATCGGCCTTGCCATTTTATTTCCACTGTCTGACCTGGAGTCCATGCATAGCTGGAATTGGTGAAGATATCCATCTGTTTAAGAAACCCGGTAGTAAGGTCACTTTATAACGTACATCACGGTAATATTAGCTGCCTGACATATTGTCTGCTACCAGGATGATTCGGATGCCATGAACGGTGATCATCTGATCATAGATATAACACTGTACGTGCTCATGGCAGACTGGCTCACTTTTCTCGACACTCATGAAGCGCAGCACGGCAATCGAAATATTTCTGCGTCACCGGAGATAGTATGAGCGTAGAGCAGTTATCAGAAGCGCTACCTTTCATCGATGATACACGAGGACATGTCTTGTTGATCTGGTGAGTCTACCACCGACGTATAAGGTCAACATCGATTTGGAATGCATCTCCGCTGCGCCAGTCAAGGGCGAATTGTCGCTCGACCATCGATGATACGGTTTAAGTGGTGTGGGAGAGCCAGGGTACGAACAGGCTATCCTTGACCTGCGACGTTATTCTCTAACATTCTTCGTAATTAGCATTCTAAGTGAGAATGCTGGCGCAGTCTGGGAGCCGGACATCCCGACAAAGCTGTTCCGACGCCTCCATTATTGCTTCTAACCTCTACCACCATCTGTGCCTGACATCATGCGCTTTCCCTTCTTCAGAAAAGAGCAAGGCGATACGGCTCTTGTACATCCTCTCTCAAGGTACAATGATAGGACTACCGCGTGCTCGGTTCGTGGAATCTAGGGTGCGAATCTTCGCGGCGAGTGCTCGGGTATATAAACATTGTCATTGCTTGCTCACTATCCGCAGTGCGTCCTGCATTACCCATTTTCTATACTCATTTCCTTCTTTTACACACCAGCAAGTATACACAATGTTTGACTGTGAGGAGAAGACTATCCAGCTGCCCGATCTCATAAAGTCGATCCCTTTCCCCATCCGCCTAAACCCGTACACCCGATTCGTGTCCGCCGACTCCGATGCCTTTATTTTGGAGTCGTCGAACCTCACGGAAGAAGAGAGATTCAAGTTCACTGGCTTGAATGCCGGTCTCCTATGTGGGATGGCCTACTCAGAGTGCGGGTTTGAAGAGCTCAGAGCGTGCACGGATTTTATGGGCTTCCTTTTCAATATTGATGATTGGGGCGAAGGATCCGACTCGGAAGGAACAAAGGGTTTGGCGGAGGTTGTGATGAACACTCTGCATTATCCGGAGACCTTTCGCTCGGATACTGTTGCTGCTCGGGTGACCAAATCGTGCGTATAGTTCGGATCGCTTTGTGATCGTTACTGACATCCGGCTTTCTCGCAAGATGGTGGATAAAGTTTCTCGAGACTATCAGCCCTAATTCCAAGAAACGCTTCATCGACGCTATGCACCTGTACTTCAAGGCCATCACGCAACAGGTTACCGATCGTGCATCGATGAGGGTTCCGGAGCTAGCGGCCTACATTCACTTGCGTCGCAAAACCAGTGGATGCGAGATGTTCTTCGTCCTCATTGAGTATGCTGCCCACATCGACCTTCCTGACGAGGTCTACGAGCATCCTCTCATTCAAGGTCTAATGGATATTACCAACGACAGCATCAGCTGGGTTAATGTGAGTAATCACGCTTTTGTCCGCCGATAAGCGAGGACACTTTGTGGGTTATTAGGATCTATGATTCAACGATCCTGTCTGGCGTGTACTATCAGTTGATCTAACTATGCTCGCGTCTTAGGATATCTTCTCATATAGTCGCGAATGCTCGCTCGGAGATGTGAGTCGCTACTGCTCTCATCCCTTATACTGTTTCATTCTCCATTCACAGCCGCACAACATCGTGTGTGTGCTAATGAAGGCCTTTGATCTGGAGCAACAAGCTGCCATCGACTATGCTGCAGATATGGTGACCAAGACTATCGAGCGCTTCCTTGAGATCAAAGCAATATTGCCTTCTTGGGGTCCTGAAGTTGATGCACAGGTGGAGGTGTATGTGCAGGGTCTGGGAGACTGGATTATAGCCAATGCAGAGTGGAGTTTTATGACCGAGAGATATTTCGGAAAGAACGCTTCTCGGGTCAGGAAGAGCTTGCAGGTCAAACTCCCGCCTGTTGTGTCGTTGAAGTAGGTGTCATACACCGCACATTGGTACGATGAACAGTCTATTGTTCACAAACGGTTGTTGGTTCTGATGGCTCCTGATACCCGATAGATGCGCGGTCGATTCAATACTGGAATGTCTATATGCTGCCTTTTTGCGCTATTCTGTATAGTTTTAACGCTTGTCGACGAATTTTGAGCTAGTAATATTATCTGTGCTAATGCTGTGATTCGTCTTGAGCTCGGGGCTTGCTTCCCCTCCGGAATGGAACGGCCGCCACAACGTTTGCGACATATTCTGCTCGTATGATGGCAGCAAGGTAACGTACGAGGTATCTTCAGGTTTGCGCTCAGACTTGTCGAGAATAAGAATCCTTCCCATCGGTAGCAGCCCTTTTGGCGACGCGCTGTACAATGTACACCCCAGTCCAGCTGAGGAGTCGTTAATTCGTTACAGAAGGGTCTGAAGGATACACGTACTGTACCAGATCAAGAAGGTATATTTGCCAGGCGCGTAAGTATCCAGCCATTGGGATGTTCGACGGTTCATGGCCAAGTTTAACGATCAGCGTCCTCGTCGACGGTGTTCAGTTGTACTGAATTTTGTCATCGCACGTCCTTCTTCGGAAGTGCAGATACTAAGGCAGGCTGCATTCACTAGAAAGCGTCATATTGAGTTGTAGTCGGGTGAATATGATGATTATGATTGTCTTGTGGCGTCGCTAGACAAATCTCCCACCTTTTGAAAGCCCATTGCTAGGTCGTTGTCCTGCTGTGTCGCTCGAGGATCCCCTACTTTTTGAAGGTCCATTGTTGGGTTGTTACTCTGGATATGCATTCTCTCTTGCTACTCCTTTAGCGGTTCTTCGGCACATATATACATGGAGCAGTGAAGAGACAGTCACGCACCTGAATGCTTGCAGCCGGCTCAAGTTGTGTTCTGCATCAGCTACCATCAGCGCGGCCGCCACCGCGCGTGCCGTGTGCATTCCGCGACACGGTCACGTGTGGCCATCATACATCCCAAGCGCCCACGACTGACTCTTGCGCGCACCCCTTCTCTTCCAACCCAAATCTCATCTGCCTGCTCAGACTGCAAGAGCGCACAAAAAATACACAGAAATATATCAGTTCTGCACATTAGCTCCGGTGCGTTTTCATCGAGCGGGCAAGCCATCGGCCGCCTGCCCCGTCAGAGTCGACCTCGGGCGCCGCAGGTATGTAATCGCAACCTGTCCTCACCAGCCTTCTCCGCACGCATACTGCGAGCAACACTGCACCGCTCAGCTATCTGATAAATGTGAGAAGGCCTCCGTCAGCGCGGCATAAGCTCATCACACACGCGGCTGAAGTTGGTTTAAGGGGAGCAGCCAGTGCGCCGCATGAACGGTTTACGCAGGCTGCTTCACTGCTATGGCGGGCGTGCGTGCGAGCGGATCATGGAGTGTTGACAATTTCATTGATCAGTGGTGCGTTGAAGGAACGACATTGGCGGGTGATTGGCAATCCGCAGGAGGGATTCACTCATCCTCGCGGTTAGTTTATCATCTAGAATGGGCGTCGGCCTTGCACTTGGGCTTGAAGCCATGTCCTCGCGCGCGTGGAGATAACCACACATAAACTCTCGTTCTGTCCCTCATCCGCCTTTCCAGCTGCATCTCCGGAATTCTACTCGAACCTATGCACCTTATCCAGAGCTCGCACACACGCGGACACCGAGACATTAAAAAATGCGAATTACTCTTGTAGACTCGCTCTTCTCCCGTTTCAGCACGCGTTTCTGCTCTTCTTCTCCGCCCTACTCTTTCTCACCGCCCAAGTCCACTGCCAACGCGAAAGGCCTTCCGCCGTATGAGCGCACGCCGCTGAAGTGAACCGAGGGGCAGAACCCAAGGTGGGCGCACGGGCAGAGCATGTACTCGACGCCCAAGGGGCACACGTGGGCCAAAGGCGAGCGCGCAGGGTGGCGCGTCGTGGATGCCGCCAAGGAAGATCCAACGTGAAGTACCCCTCCTCATTCTTCTCCAGCGCGAATGAATGCTGGTGCTGATGGTGTTTATAGCAAGCTGGAGCGTAGCAGGATAGAGTAGGAGTGGAAGCAATGAATGATGTGTGCTGATGATCCGCGCGTCTGCAGTACCGGATGATGATCAGCGGGAGCGTCCCGTGCCCGATCGCATTGGTGTCGAGCGTGTCGGCGGACGGCGTGGAGAACCTCTCACCGTTCAGGCGAGCGCGCTTTTCTCTCTACCCTCGTCTCCCCTCATCGATCATAACTGACGTACATCGCCTGTAGCTGGTTCAACGTGGTACGTGCATTCATACTTTTGGGAAGTGATATAGTGACACCGCATGCAGGTGACGGGCACACCCCGGCTCGTGAGCGTCACATGCCTGAACACGGCGGGCGGGCTCAAGGACAAGGTGGCGAACATCAAGGCGACGAAGGGGTTTACGTCTGTGGTTTGTCGCATTTTTTCAGGTCACAGAGGAACAGGCCACGAAGTACAGCGATAATGATGCACGCCATAATTGGCAGCGATGTGATTAGTGGCATATATATTTGTCAAAGTATGGTCTCATCGAGCAATCACTTTATGATGTCGAAGATATGTATATGGTTGAAATTTAATGTTCCGCGTTGCAGCCTTCCATGGTCCTTGGACATGGCACGCCACCTAACCGTGAGACCATCATGTTATGCTGTCAAAGGACACCACGCACTCGGATTCCTATCAGACCTTACATGAGGCTAGTTATCTCCGCTCATCTTGTATTCAATTCGCTCTGTGATCTGTTGCGCCATTCTGTCTGCAATGCATTCAAGCTGTCGCAAAAAGGAATCAATAGATAAGCTTGTTTGACCACATGAAGTAGTCTCCGGCGATGTTCCCCTCCGGACAATTCGGAGAGCGCCGGCGTTTCTCTCAGAATAGTAAATACAATGTCGTTTGAATTCAGCCTGTTAGCTGGCTGTCTGGTGTTTTCTGGTCGGTCAACATACGTGGCATTATTATCCTCGAGCTTCTGAATTTAAAATATCATATATCAGGACTTGAGCCGCATCTCGTACACATGAGCGCTTTGTTCCCTCTCTTATAAGGATCGGCGGCTGCAATCATCCGCGCCACCAACGCATGTGCTCGGCGCGACACGTTCACGTGCCGTGATATTGTCAAACGCCCAATCATTGACTCCGTGCATGCAGTGTTATGCAGTGCACTAGGCTCTTCCTTCCTTGCTCTTATCAAGTCGCTTGCTCGCGCGGCTTCCTCCCATCGTGATGTTGTGTGGTTAGAATGATCCATTCATTTATGAAACCGTCATCTTTTCTGGAGGCGTGCATGAGGCAAAGTAGGCGCGCAGGGCAGAGTTAGACACCAGCGCAACGGTGCGTCGAAGACTCTGATCCAAGTGGTCTGGAAGCACACCAAAATGCATCGTCGATTGGCCATGTAGTTATTCTTCGGAACCTGTTGCGATTTCCAGCTCATGGCCATGGTCTACAAAATAACACCGGGAGTGCCGAGCAGCTCGTTATATGCGCTCAATGACTTTGCATTTGGTTGAGCCATGGTACACTGGTACATAGTGAGCCTTTCTTTTACTGAGATGGCATCGATGCTCGTTGAGCCTCTTACATGAGCCACTAGTATCAACGGCTAGCGCGAACTGCTCAGCTTTGTACGTGTCCCATACAGTTTGTCAAGCACGAGAAATCGGCCTTGACATTGTTTTCCACCATCTGAGCTGGAGTCCGTGCAGAATTGGAATTAGTGAAGATATTTATCGGTTAAGAAACTTTGGTAGTGAGGTCGCTTCATAACGTACTGTACGTCACGGCAACATTGGTCTGCTTGACATATTGTCTGCTACTAGGATGGCTGGGATGCCTTCAACGGTAATCATATGACCATAGGTATAGTGCTGTACGTGCTCATGGCACACTAGCTCACTATTCTCGAGACTCGTGAAGCGCAGCGTGGCAATCGAAACATTCCGACGTCACCGGAGATATGAGCGTAGACTGGTTAGCAGAAGCGCTACATTTCATCGATGATTCCAAAGGACATGCCTTATCGATCTAGAGAGTTTACCTTCGATCCACAAGATCAACATCGATTTGTAACTCATCTCCTCTGTGCCAGTCAAGGCAGCATTATCGCCCGACCATCGACGATACGGTTCAAACGGTGTGGGAGAACCGGGTACGAACAGGCTATCCTTGACCTGCGACATTATCTTCTAACATTTTTTATGATTAGTATCCTAAGCGAGAATGGCGGCGCAGTTTGAGAGCCGGACATCCCGACAAAGCTGTTCTGATGCATCCATTGTTGCTTCTAACCGCTGCCACCTTCTCTGCCTGACATCATGCGCTTTCCCTTCCACAGAAAGGCGCGAGGCGATACGGCTCTTGTGCGCCCTCTGGCAAGGTACAATGACAGGACTACCGCGTGCGCGCTGGTTGGGATCTAGTCCGTACGAATCTTCGTGGCGAGTGCTCGGGTATATAAACAATGCCATTTCTTGCTCACTATCAGCAGTCCGTTTTCCATCACTCATTTTTCTGCACTCGCTTCCATCTTTCACATTTTGCAAGCATTCACAATGTTTGACCGCGAGGAGAAGACTATCCGGCTACCCGACCTCATGAAGTCGATCCCTTTCCCCATCCGCTTAAACCCGTACACCCGGTTCGTGTCCGCTGACTCAGATGCCTCTATTTTGGAGTCGTCGAACCTCAAGAAGGAACAGAGGTCCAAGTTCATTGGATTAAATTCCGGTCTCCTGTGTGGCATGTGCTACTCAGAGTGCGGGTTTGAAGAGCTCAGAGCGTGCACGGACTTTATGAGCTTCCTCTTCAATCTTGATGATTGGAGCGATGAATTCGACACGGAAGGAACAAAGGGTTTGGAGGAGGCCGTGATGAACACTCTGCGTTATCCGGAGACCTTTCGCTCGGATACTGTCGCTGCTCGGGTGACCAAATCGTGCGTATAGTTCGGATCGCTTTGTGACCATCACTCACGTCCGGCTTCCTCGCAAGGTGGTGGATGAAGATGCTCGAGACTATCGGTCCTAATTCCAAGAAACGCTTCGTCGACACGATGGACTTGTACTTCAAGGCCATCACGCAGCAGGCTGCCGATCGAGCGGCGATGAGAGTTCCGGAGCTAGCGGCCTACATTCACTTGCGTCGCAGAACTAGTGGATGCAAGACCGGCTTCGTCCTCATTGGGTACACTGCGCATATCGACCTTCCTGACGAGGTCTATGAGCATCCTCTCATTCAAGGTCTAATGGATATTACCAACGACAGCATCAGCTGGTGTAATGTGAGTAGCTCCGCTTCTTTGTCCCCCGATAAGCGAGGACGCTTCATGGGTTATTATGACCTATGATTCGACGACCTTGTCTGGCTTGGAATATCGACCGGTCTAACCATGTTCATGTCTTAGGATATCTTCTCATATTATCGCGAACGCTCACTCGGAGATGTGAGTTGCTACTGCTCTCGTCCCTTACACACTGGCTCATTCTCCATCCACAGCCGCACAACCTCGTGTGTGTGCTAATGAAGGCCTTTGATCTGGAGCAACAAGCTGCCATCGACTATGCTGCAGATATGGTGATCAAGACTATCGAGCGTTTCCTTGCGATCAAAGCAGAATTGCCTTCTTGGGGTCCTGAAGTTGATGCACTGGTAGAGGTGTATGTGCAGGGTCTGGAAGACTGGATTGGAGCCAATGCAGAGTGGAGCTTTATGACCGAGAGATATTTCGGGAAGGATGCTCCTCGGGTCAGGAAGAGCTTGCAGATCAAACTTTCTCCCGTTGTGTCGTTTAAATAAGTGTCGCACACTGCAGGTTGACTAGTGCGGTGAACAGTCTACTGTTTTCAAACAGCTGTTGGTTCTGACGGGCCCTGATACCCGATACATGTGCGATCGATTCAATCCTGCTGTATCTGTATGCTGTCTTTGTGCGCTACTCTGTATATTTTTAAGGCTTGGTTAGGAGTTTGAGCTAGTACGCGTGCTAATTGCTGTGGTTTGTCTTGAACTCGAAGCTCGCTGCGTAGCCGGAAACGAATTGCCGCCACGACTTTTGCGACACAGTCTGTTCGTATGACGGCAACAAGATGACGTGCGAGCTGTCGTCGTGATACCAGATCAACAAGGAATCGCTGCGTATACTTGCAAAGTTCGTATAGATGCAGTCGCTGGAATGTACGATCCAATGTAACGAAAAATATGATCTAGTCGACACAGTTCGGCTATACTGAACATTTGACGCCATACGTCCATCTAAGACGCAGACTCCAAGGCAGATTCCATTCACTAATAAAGTACCGTATCGACGTGCAGTGATTAATATGACTGCCACGTTGTCCCATGGTGTTGTTCGACGAATCCCCTACCTTTTGATTCTTGAAAGTCCACCGGTAGGTTGTTCTGCATACACGGTCTCCTTTGTTACTCCATTAGCAGTTCTCCGACACGTATATACATGCAACCGTGAATGAGACATTCACGCACCTGAATGCTTGCAGCCGGCTCTTTGTGTTCTGCATCAGCTACCATCAGCGCGGCCGCCACCGCGCGTGCCGTGTGCATTCCGCGACACGGTCACGTGTGGCCATCATACATCCCAAGCGCCCACGACTGACTCTTGCGCGCACCCCTTCTCTTCCAACCCAAATCTCATCTGCCTGCTGAGAGACTGCAAGAGCGCACAAAAAATACCGAAATATACCACTTCTGCACATTAGCTCCGGTGCGTTTTCATCGAGCGGGCAAGCCATCGGCCGCCTGCCCCGTCAGAGTCGACCTCGCGCGCCGCAGGTATGTAATCGCAACCTGTCCTCACCAGCCTTCTCCGCACGCATACTGCGAGCAACACCGCATCGCTCAGCTATCTGATAAATGTGAGAATGCCTCCGTCAGCACGGCATAAGCTCATCACACACGCGGCTGAAGTTGGTTTAAGGGGAGCAGCCAGTGCGGCGCGTGAACGGTTTATGCGGGCTGCTTCACTGTTGCGGCGGGCGAGCGTGTGAGCTGATTATGGAGTGCTGACGGTGTTATTGATCAGTGGTGTCGTTGAAGGAGCGACATTGGTGGGCAATTGGCAATCCGCAGGAGGGTTTCACTCATCTTCTCGATTAGATTTATCATCTCGGGTGGGCGTCGGCCTCGGAATTGGGCTTGAAACCATGTCCTTGCGCACATGGAGGTGCCCGCATATAAACTCTCGTTCGGTTCCTCATCCGCCTTCCCAGCTGCACCTCCGGCATTCCTACTCGAACCTGTGCACCCTATCCGGAGCTCGCACATACACACGGACACCGAGACATAGAAACATGCGCATCCCTCTTGTAGACTGGCTCTTCTCCCGTTTCAGCACGGGATTCTCTGCTTCTTCTTCGCCTTCCTCTTCCTCACCGCCCAAGTCCACTGCTGACGCGAAAGGCCTCCCACCGTATGAGCCCACGCCGCTGAAGTGGACCGAGGTGCCGAACTCAGGGTGGGCGTACGGGCAGAGCATGGATGCGACCACCGAGGGCCGCGCGTGGGTCGAAGGCGAGCGCGCAGGGTGGCGCGTTGTCGATGCCGCCAAGGAAGATCCAACGTGAGTGCCTAGCTACCCCCGTTCTTGTTTCTCCGGCGTGAATGAGTGCTGATTGATAATGCTTACAGGAAGCTGGTGCGTGGCAGGATTAGCGTGGGAGTGGGAGCGGTGGATGATGTGCTGACGATCCGCCTGTTTGAACTTTGCAGTACAGGATGATGATTAGCGGAATCGTCCCGCGCCCGATCGCGTTCGTGTCGAGCGTCTCGGCGGACGGCGTGGAGAATCTTGCACCGTTCAGGTGAGCGCGCTTTTGCATCCATCCTCGTATCCCCTCTCATCACTGACGCACCTCGCCCGTAGCTGGTTCAACATGGTGCGCGTCACTGATATCTTTGTGGATGCATATAATGACACCCCATGCAGGTAACGGGCAACCCCCCGCTCGTGAGCGTCGCATGCCTGAATACGGCGGGTGGGCTGAAGGACACGGCGGCGAACATCAAGGCGACGAAGGGATTCACGGTGAACATTATCAGCGAGGCGTTCGTGCACCACGCGAACGCGTGCGCGATCGATGCGCCAAGTGAGGTCAGCGAGTGGCCGCTGAGCGGGCTTACGAGGGAGAAGAGCGTACGTACGCGGCGCAACCGTCTGATTGTATACTGATTGAATAGGATTATATTGTAGATTCTGGTCCGCGCGCCGCGTGTGAAGGAGAGCGCGTTCAGCATGGAGTGCGAGGCACGTTCCCTCCTCCTTCTCTTCCCTCTCTGCAACCTATTCACTCGCTCACCCGCATAGCTCTTCGAAGCGCACGACATCATCCACCCCGACACAGGCGCATGCACGACCACCCTCATCCTGGGTCTCGTGAAGTACATCCACGTGCGGAAGGACGTGCTCACGGAGCGCGGGTACGTTGACCCCGCGCGGCTGCGCGCGGTGGGCAAGATGGGCGACATCACGTATGCGCGCCAGGGGGATGCGTTTCGCATCCCGCGCCCGGACTGGGGGAAGGATGCGGAACAGATCAAGGATGTGTTTGGCGCGGAGGGGGGCGAAGCGGTGAGGGTGTGAAGTGTGTACCCGCGGGGTTGCGTCGTTGATTAAGGATAGAGGTAGCCTATGCGCTGATTTGACTAATGTCGCGGTAGATCTAGATCGTTGGCACATATACTTCTGTGACTATATTCTACCATATCTCTAGGTTCAATTGACTGAGAAACGATCTTGCGAAGCACCCTCAGGCGATTCTCAGCACATGCTCGGAGGGCATAAACCCATGACAGAGGGCCTTCACAACGGTACCGAGCGGCAAATATCTATTGTGAAACCTCGCGATATTCGCTCGAACCCGTCCAAATGGCATGCGCTGTTCAATGTGATCGTCCAACACGACGCGTTCGTCCGCAAGAAAATTGCGCAAGCTGTCAAGGTGCTGCCGTTGTCCCACCCAGAGTCGGCGTGCAGCCAGTTTCGATCACACTCGGCTCTGCGCCCGGTCACACCCAAGTACGATCAATGCCGATCGCTGAGCGCTGAACGGCGGTAAGGTTCGCTTCTGCAGTGCGCCGCCGGCTTTGATTGGACCCCGCCTGTCATCGACGCTTCTCAATAGGATCTGCGTCCGACGGCGTCCTCCACGGCAACCCAAGTGGGCATTGCATCATCGCCTCTGGCGCATATAACCCGCCCCTTCCCCCGCGCACGTCCGCATGCTCCCCCTCTTCCGCTTACTCTCGTCCAAATCCCTCCGCACCATGTCCACCACCGCCACCTCCAGCGCGCAGCTCCCCACCGACTCCTCCCTCCCCGGCGAGCACTTCGAGGTCCGCCAGACCTCCACCTCGGACGACTACCACCCGGATCCCTCCAAGTCGCTCCCGCTCCCGCCCGCACGCCAGCGCCTGCTCGACGACATCCTCGCACTCTACTCCTGCCAGCCCACGCGCGAGCGCGTCATGCGCTATACCCCCGACTGCGTGTACGATGACCAGTTCGTGTATGCGGATGATCGGTTCAAGATGGCCGGCCAGTGGTTTGCGCTGCCGAAGCTGTTTAGGGAGAGCAGGAACGAAGGGTACCAGATTGTCACGAACGACCCGCTGCTTATCCAGTTCAAGAACGAGCAGGTGCGTGGAACAGGCTCCTTCATTATTTTTCGATTTTCACCTGTGCACACGCCAGACGTGGGTCTTCCCTGGGGGAATCAAATCTGCCACTATCAACGCCCTCGTCTCGCTCTCCCTCGACCCCGCTACCGCAGACTCGGACTTTCCTCAGGTCAAATATCACAAGGACCAGGCCAATGACAAAGATTACTCACACACCGGCCCCGGCTTCGCATTCAAGAAGTGGCAGGCTGACCGTGTCGCTGGCATGATGGACAGTGAGGACGTCCAGGCGTTCAAAGGCGATGCGAAGGAAGAGTACCACGAGCCCGTGAGGACGTACAAGAGCGGGACGGATGCAGCGCCGAAGAAGGATTGGTGAACGCGCTGGGGGCACTGGAGTTTGATGCATCGGTTTGATTGGCAAGTGTCGGCTTGGAGGGACCGCATAGCGTATGGACCATGGTTGTCGCAATATTATCCAGTGTACTGTAGAGACGCGGCGAAAACGATGTGTGCCACCGTCAGCATCCATGAAATTCTGGAACCGCAAATACCTGTGGATGACTACTTCATACTGTTCGCGGTCTTCTGCGCCTGCCGTCGCAGAGGGTGGCCATATGCAGACTGTTGCACAGAAAATGTAGTAGCATGCACCCATTATTCCTTTCCGCATCAACCGCATCAGTTGCACACAAAGTCAGGATATTCTTACCGTATTACCTATCTTATATCCACCGCACACCGCATGCACCCACACCGGCGCTCACGCACATCGGAATCACCTCTCCTGCATCCGACAGAGCAGATCTGGCGGATTCACGAAAGGTGGATGGACGTGCGGCGCGCCGGGTCAGATGCGGACAGCCTGGGCGTTCGTTGGGCACAGCAAACATTTGACGGAACGAGGATGACAATGTGGCTGTGATGAGAATATGACAGTGCGCGAGTTTCGTACGCCGGTTTGAGGGGCAACTGTAAGCTTAGAGGGGACCATGTAGTGCATGGACCATGGCTGTTGCAATAATTTCCAGGGTTCTGTAGAGATGCGGCTGAAATTAAATGTGCCACCGTTAGCATTCGCGAAATTGTGGAGCCGCAAATACTTGTGAATGACTAATTCATGTTGTTCGCCACCTTCTGGATTTACACAGTAGAAAGTGCCCATATGCAGACTATTGCTCATAAAACATGGTGCCGTGCACCCAATGTATCTTTCTGCATCAACGACATCAGTCGCCCACAACGCCAGAATGTTCTTACCATATTACCCGTTTAGTATTCGCCGCACACACCGTACACACCCACACCGGCGCTCACGCACATCGGAATCACCTCTCCTGGATCAGACAGAGCAGGTCTGGAGGATTTACGAGAGGTGAATGGACGTGCGGCGCGCCGGGTCAGATGCGGATAGCCTGGGCGTTGGTTGGGCGACTTCTAGCAGGATATACGACGGGACGAGGATGGCGACGTGATGAGAACCTGCCTGTGTGCGAGTTGGCGCACACTGTGATTATGATGGTGATGTGCGCGAGAGATGGAGGAGGAGGAGAGGGAAGAGAGGTCGGGTGCTTGTGAGGGCCCAGGGTGTGGGGAGGGGTAGGGCTGGGATTGTGTGGTCGAGAGGAGAGAGGGGGCCGCGATCGTGGTACCTTACCATCTCGTACGAGGGGCGGACATCGTTATCGGTGTGGATCGTCGTATCAGCCCTATCCTCATGAATGACAAATCCGCCGACGCTTCTCCTTCCCGCACACGCACGCCGTTCATCCATCCTGTTCGTCTTGGGAGCTCATCGGTGGCGGAGAGGGCGCGGGTCAATGGGAGGGAAAGCCCCCGAGGGGGTCGTACAGATTCGGTGCGCGCATATGGTTTATCTCCGCCATAGCGGGGAACGAGCCGTTTGCGCGCGTGCGTAGCCGAGTGCGATGAATAGCGCCTCGCCGTGAGGGACGCGATGGCGGATGGATGAATCGGGAGCGCGAAATGTCGGTAACGGCTGGGGCGGGGATGGCGGAGTGTATGCTCGGCGCCGAGTTGCGATAGATGTGGATGCGCCCGCTTTTGAACACTGTGACACGGCGATGGGAGATGAAGTTCCGCTGAACATTGAATATTGATATTGAACAGCGACCACAGCGTCAGGTAAGATCCGTGACTGTTCTCACGACCATCCACCAGCAACGACGATGGGTCAATGAAACCTTCAGACTCGGAAGCCACACAGGGCAATTCGGCGATCGTAGCATTATCATGGTCAGTGGGACACGCACAGATGACCTGGAGGGTGTTCGCATGAGCTGGTTATCTGGAGAGCGAGGGATGTGCGAGTCCAGCCCGATGTGCATCAAGCGACGTCGATGTTGCTTGAAGAGATTGACGTGTCCACTCGAACGAACGCGGGTCGCGATTATGTTCGCGAGCGATCCCCGAGCGAAGAGGGGGAGCGTTTGGCGGATGGGTACCGGGTGCTCAAGCTCTGAGAGTGAAGGTGGGGGGTCGTGCAAGAGGCTGTACAATCGTGAGGCTGGACATGGCATGGCATAAACCAAATACACACGCGCCTGTTTCGGAACGATATCGGCCACTGTAAACATGGCAGCCTCGGGACCTTTGCATGAGGGTTTGCGAAAAATGGTGCCTGCGCGCGGTGTTCAGCCTTCAAAGCTTCAGACTTGATGTGAGTGCTAGTTTCGAGACGCAAATAATTCCTTAGAGGCAACTTTATATTCCGAGAGTCTCCCTGGATGACAGGAGAAGTATAGTACCCTCTCAGTCTGTGATCTCCGTATAAACAGAAAGGGTAAAGTTCGGACCCAGCGGGAGAAGCGAGCGCTGCTCCGAACACTTGTGCTTACTAAGCGACTGGACGAGAAAGTTATGATTTCTCCTCGCCACCATCTCGTTTTCCGCTCGCATCACAGCTTTTTCAACCCC